GGTAGAGGAAACATAATGATGTTCTCTTATGACAATTACAACAGGATCATGGACCAAACATATTTGTTGTTTTTAAATAAAAAGGTAACAAATAGTACATGGTTATTCATTTTGGACTTTTATCAATACAAGCAAATTGAGATTTTTATTCGACGCACTTGTCTGTTTCATTGCTGACGGAAATTGCGGTATCTGTTGTGTTGCTGTTGTAAAAATACGTCAAAAGTAAGCCCATAAAAACCAAAGTAATTACATAGTGTCAACTACACGCGTGAACACTTTATATAAAAAAAAATGTTTACATCGCTATTTTCAGTTGAAGTAACTTCATCTATCTAAACGTGAAAAAATGAAGTGATTGATCTTAGCAATGTACAAAATTAACGTAATCAGCAACAAAACATGTACGATATGTCTGTAGGCCTTAACATGTACAATATGTCTGTAGGCCTTAACATGTACAATATGTCTGTAGGCCTTAACGGTCATTTGACTTTAAAGACCTAAAATGATATAACAACAGTAGAGAGAATAACAATTAAATGATTAAAACAGTTTGGAATGTTTTAGCAGTAACGGCAAAAACTTCTCATTCCAGGTTCCCGAAATTCCAACAAAGTTTCAGTTCAACGGCACCAGTGGAACTTGAAAGAAAGTTTAAATTATGTTTTTCAAGACCATTTCGGGATCAATGAAGGCAGCTGAATTCTATCGCTGGAACGTGAGATTTAAAAAAATCATAAAAAAGATTTTTTATCTAAAATACTTGGGAATTATTCCCCAATAAGTACATACGTACATGTTTTAGTAATACACGAACTGTGATAATGAACGAGATTGGAAATTTAGTCAGGAAAACTGGAAACTAATGGACGGATGGTGTCTGATTCATTATACGTATGTGCAAATACTTGCGGACATATTTTGTCATTTTTCTTTCAAAAAGAAATTGATAATGTGTATTGTTTATATAGATATTATTCCATAGTGTCTCTGTCAACAGCTTCACTACAGTACATATTATCGCGTTATAATTGATGACGTAATTATTGCTTATTATGAACCAATTACGGCATTCATGTCAAGAAACTTATTGTACCTCTTTAAATTAATACCAGAGTCATACTAGCTTTCAAAAGGTTCCGAGCTAATTAACGGTTGATAAATAAAAGATTTATTTTAGAGGTTAGATGAAGAAATGGATTTGGTTAAAACTAATACTATGATAGTGTAGTTGTTCTAGCCGACATGGAGACAGTTGCGCATGTGATTGTTTGTGTCGTCATTAAAAAGACAGTGACATATTGGTTTTAATCATCATTCAGGTGATCAGGGAATTAATTTCGGGAATAAAACTTTAAGAACATAAGAGCACATATTGATCGTTTATTTTAACATGGCGGAGGCTTCTAATCGTACAGACATTTGCAGTTTGCAGTTGTACGAATATCGCAAGCGCCAATGTAAAGCATAACATACATATATAAACTCATTATTTAGATCGCTAATATTTGTTGGGAACGTAGATGTAAAATACAATCGCGGCTTATGTGATTTAAAAGAAATATATAAACTTCAGTAGCTTAATAGTTATATAATATTATGCGATATTTATAAAAACATTTTGTCACTACAAAAAGTACAGATTAAAGTGCATAAACCTAAAAGTTTGGAATCATTTTAAAGAATGTGTTTAGTGTAACTCTCAAATACCGATTTCCATACCTGAACATATTTGTATCTATAATTAGATCGGTTATGCGTCAAACAATCTATGTGACATCTAATACGCTAATAAACATATCGAGAGTCATTGATGTCAGATACTCTCATCACAATCTGAAATTGATAAAACACCTTCCTTGATTAATTTTAAGAACTTTGTTATTGAAATGCCTCCTGTGTCATGCTATATCGATACATTGTATAACAGCTAACCTATATATCTATACGTGTTCACGCCTAAAAGTGATGGACAGTGCTGTGTCATCAGCTATATTCACTCGTATTAATCATATCAGGTAATTACTCTACTTTATGCGCGTGTCATATCAGGTTGCCAATAACTCATCATTCCAATTGTATTAAATTTTCGACATACATGAGCTGCTGGTGTATTTAGAACCACCGGTACATGTATCTGTATTGCTTTCATTGCTTCATACGATAAAAAACATCTAATTATTGAATATTGTAGATAAACTTACATTTATAGAATATTTTATAAACACATTAATAGTCTTGGTATATTTCTGTTAAGCGTAGTATTAATCGCAATACTATTTAATGTTTGTTTTCTTTTTCAACTGTATGTACATGCGCTCCAACAGAGTCTCTCAATACCAACCTATGTGGAATTGTTTTAAAACATCATTAAGATGTTAAAAAGACACATAAATCGATGGCACCATTCAATACAGACCTACTATCATGTCCAGTACATGCAAGTTATGAATTAACCTGCATCATACTGCGTCCTTCTAGTACACGTCAGTGATCCTAAGGGCCTAAGTTATTATTTGTGCACGTTATCTTGTTAAGGTAAGACCTCTGAAGTCAGGTTTGTCAATACATTACATTGTATTTATATATATATATATTTGACCAGAAGACATCAATATTTTGTCAACAATTACCCTTTTAGATAAATAAAGTTTCTCTTTCAAATCGTACTACAGAGTGTGTGAATAGGTAATAGTTAATGGAATATGTGAATGTTTAACTTCAAATAATTTCATGAACTCTATTGTTTATTGCTCTTTATTTATTTATTTATTAATATTATTATTATTTACTTTTTGTTTAGGGGGGGGGGTGTCATTTTAACAAATGCAGAATTGAACATAATGTTCACGATTGGGAAGATCAGAATATTGGAAACTCTTTTTATTGTTTATGCAGAACTGCACAAATTTTCGTCATTAGGGTATGTACACGTATCATCAGAATTAGCATTTTCAATATGTGGTGCACATAGACAAGTTTATTAAAAATATTTTATAAGCATTTGCTTACATGTTTACCTGCAAATCACACGTTATCAAAACTAACGTGTCGATCAGCATGTATGTTGATTACTTCTGATGTATCAATGTAGCATTGTATCAATTACAATAGATGGTTTCCGAGTCTCGCTTTGAATCATTCAATTTTTATTTTAGATTTTTCAAGATAACAATAAGGGAAAGAGTTAATTATTGATTGAACATTTCTTGGCCGAAAACTGGAAGTTGGTTTGGATAATGTCAGTTCTGGAAGTAGACACTACCGACATTTGGCGTCTTCAATACCAATGTTATTGTCGATTTTTTTTGTCACTCAGTAAACACAATAGAAGCAAAATGTTTTCAAGTATGAAAATTGCGACCAACCATTCACGTTTTAATATACCTATAATATTGCGTTATCATGGCCATCCATCAAGTAAATTATATATATGGAACTACCAAATATATCAAAACTGAGGAAGGTAAATCGCAATAGTATATATTCCTATTGATATCTTTACACAAGAAAAAACGAAACACGATTTAGAAACTATCAGCAAATTCTTGGTGTTCTTAGATGTTGGAGATTTAACTAGGTTATGGTTCGAATTGCATGGTGGTCTTTTTTTTAACATTTTCCACTTTTCTTTAGCTAATCTGTTTTTCTTTGTCTTTTAAACTTAGTCTATTTGTTTTCTCTTATTAATATGTTTGATAAATTTTTGGTATAGAGGGAGGGGGAGGGGAGTCTTTTATTTTCATTTACTACCTTAGTTTTAGCATCAATCTTAACTCTTTTAAAAACCTTTAGTAGTATAGCCATGAAAAAATGTACAAAATTTTGCCGTCTATCCAAACATTGATGAATATGAATTGCCCATCATCATGGTCATAACATATGGCACAACAGATAACCCTTTATAAAAATGGCGACACTGTTTAATGACATTGACGCAATGAGTTCACATGGACTTTTTTTTAATGTTAAGGTTCGTGTTGTGAGCTCATCTAGCTGTGACGGTCGGCATTAAGGCGATACTACAAGACAACGCCATGGACGGAGACACCACATACGTCTTTAAGATGAATGTGTAAAATCTGTTCTAAAAAGACTCGTAAGCTTTATGCAAAATTAGAAACAATCTCTAATCTTTTTTTCACTAAGACTTGATAAAATGCTAGATTTATGTGTATGCAGTTTTATGGAAATCATTCGCACGTAGTAATTTTCATGCTTTTGTAATGAATTTTAAGAAAATTAATTTCAATCTTAATTAACCGCTGTTTTTGATAAAGCCTATTAGACTTTGTCTTTATTTACTTACAGAGATTTAACCCTTTACCTGTATGTACATTCCTCTCGTTGTCTTTTACCTGTGAAGACCACGTCATATCAATAATCTTCACTCACTCCCTAACATAAAAACTATCTATACAACCAGCGTTGAGTAACGAGTGACCTGTTGCTGGGTAATTTCTTATAATTACGTATGAGGACGTGAGTTATAAAGGCAGGGAGAGAAAGAATCATAGCCACAGGTAATTGTCAGTAGTACAGGTTGGAAGGTAAGTGCTCACATTACCTATTCCAAGTTTTATCAATTTGTCTACGATGATGATTTTATCCTGTAAATGATGTCGCAATTTATAGGATTCTTTTGTTATTTATCAATTCATCAATAATGTAGTTTCTTCATTGTTATGCATTTTTGAAAATTAATCTATCACTTTCATATTTCAGTTCTTGTTATAATTCATACAAACTTGATTTTCGTCTTTAAAGTTACCTGTAGATTGTTTTTATTTTCAAGTTAGAACATCACAAGAGATATAAACATGCAGACATGATTTATATATATATGAAGATACATTACAAAGGATATGATTTTAATAAGATATGACGTATACATACTTAATTAGATGACATTTAGAAAATACCTGACGCCCTTGTAATAAGCGTATTTTACTCGTTTTTCAGTATTTTTGAAGACTGTGGATTAAAACTTCCTAAAGATGTATTTCGGACTGGTTATAATACTGTCCCTGTTTTCTGTGCTCTATGGACAAGGTAAGTTTTCTTACCATGCAATGCGTCTATGAGGAAACAAACTCGTATTTCATGTGTATAATAATACCGAGGATTGCGTGAATGAACTGTTGTGTTGTGTAGAATAGGCAAAATTTCATAAGTTGACAGGCAACTGTACCATAAGTACTAGAAGTTATAACAAGATGTATCCAATATGCATTAACTTTGGAAAAGTGTGATTGTGTTTGTGAAAGCTTTGTTTGATCACAGAAATTCTTATGTCGAAGATTAGAAGATTATTTGGAGATACTTTTTTCAATATTGTTATTTTATACATCACCGAAGTTCAAGGTTATCGTTTGAAGTTTATTAACAAGTTGTACACTGGCGTTTTATTTCTTCATTGTTTTTATTCCTTTTAAGGTATGACTGATATATATCCCAGTACTACCATTGGTGATAAATCCTATTATGTTTTACGTGGTTTGTACTTCGAGGAAAATAGCAGGGATGACGACAGAATGATCCCAGAATCATTCCTGTGGTTGTATCGAACATTTGATAATGACTAATTGTTATAATCTGATTAACGTAAATTCACAACAACAAAAACACAAATGTTCTACAATAATTATATGTATACATCATTGTAGACAATGGCCCGGGGCAAGTCGTGTGTATCATACCAAATGTGTTATTATACAAGTGGTTATAACTGTATTTTAAATCAAGTGTCAATCAAATGTATAAAGATGTTCTGTTGTAGCTAATAACAATGCATGTGCTTTATATATCATAACCTGCTGGCTTTATACCCAATGTGTGTACGTTTTATAAGTAAATATGTCATTTTCAGTTTGGCATATTTTCATACCGCTTTGCGCTAACACAGATTCAAATCGGCATACAAACATCTACATTATATATACCTTTTACTTCTTAATGATAACTCACCAAAAAGTAACCTTTTTATGATTTTAGGAACCAAATCAACGTACATGTAAGACATGTAAGGTTAGATATACGGTTACCCACTATGCATTTGAAATCATAACGCTGAAACAGCGGAATGGCCTCCATCACCAACAACAATGACATATATCAATGAAAAAGGAAATTACAGAAATAAAAAATCAAATATATATTTACTATTAATTTTTCAGATGTCTGTGATCGATGTAAAGGAGCAAACTTATGTTTTTTCCCTGATGCAAGGGACTGCCGAATGTACAATATATGTCAGAGTAAGAGGAAGCAGCACATGCGTTGTTCATTCGGAACATTTTTTGATGCCAACAATAAGATATGCAACTACCCTTCACGTGTAAAATGTGCAAGTGGTAAGTATTAAAAGATTCGGTCTGTTAATAAACATGGAATGGTTATTTAGTATTTCATTTTGTTATTTTATCACTTTTCATAATCGAACCCCTCACGCGGTTCTTTCCTTGCAAAGAAGTTTTTTTTCAAATAAGTTAATTTTGGTATTGATTTTATTGAAAATACTATCTTAGCCTTAAGTTCCTATATAAGTTGAAAATTGTGATATTTTAAACTGGAGTGGATTCAAAAGTAAACCCAGTGAGAAAAAAGATACACATTATCTATAAAGTTGACATCTTTAATGGTAGAAAACCATATTATAAATATGTACATGGCATATAAGGATGGGAGTGAAACAAGTTTTGTATCAAATGCAATTACATGTACTTAATTGTATTAATTAATTCTTGTAATAACCTAATAATCACATGTATAATACTGTTAGTAGAAAAATCGTTTTGAATGGTCAGATCAATTTATACCAAGAACGTAAGATTGATCTGGCTTCATGTTACATGCTTTGCTTTCTGGTAGTATTTGTGATATTAAATTCCATGCCTTTTAATCAACTAAACTAAACAACATTTCTGAACCAGATCCATGTAGCGTAAATTCTGCTGTGACGTCATATGCTGATGACCATGGGAACTGTCGTCATTACTGGAAGTGCGTTGATGGAATGTCCACAGCAGTCTGTTGTCCTTATGGGACAGGGTACGATAAAGGGAATCGTACGTGTGTTCCCACCAGGAACTGTAACTCAACATGTTCTCTTTATTCCCAAAAAGATGGACCACAAGGCAAGTGGTATATATTCATAGCACAAACAAAGTCAGCATCATATTACATTTTCATTGATTTTACGTTCTGCAAATTTTACACAGGCCATGCACATCATTTCCTCATACATATCATAAGTCTTTTATTGGCACCCTGCTAAGTGAAGTTTGCATCGACAAGAACCTGACTTCCTTCTTAGTATCATATGTATCAGTAATAAGCTGACTCCCTTCTATGTCCCCTTTTTATGAGTATTAACCTAATAACTTTCTATGTCCTTTTTATCATTAATAACATAACACCTTTCTATGTCCCCTTTTTATCAGTAAGAATCTGACACCCTTCTTTGTCCCATTTAATTAGTAAGAACGTGACACCCTTCTGCGTTCCAATTTAATCAGTAAAAACTTGATACACTTTTATGTCCCATGCGTTTCAGTAAAATCGTGACACCCTTCTATGTCCCAACGTTATAAATAAGAACGTGTCTTATCTGTATCACTAAGAACCTGATATCATTTGTCACTTTTTACATATGCTGTTGGCCATTTCTTGATGACTGTCTAGTTACTTGACTTTATCGTTAAAACAACAGATATTGTTACTTACTACACAAAATCGTGTTTACATTCCGTGTTAACTTTGATTCATGAATTACTGTTGTGTTTATGGTAATCATTCAGATATTCGTTTTGTTGAATATGGTGTAAATTAGATATCCTCATAACGGCGCCATGCTTACAAATGGATATCATGTGCCGGCATAGTAATGAGCTGTTAAAGTTTGAATCGTACTTGCAAATATTTCCAATTGATAAGGATAAAACTACAGAAATCAAAATCGAAATAATGGTTAGAAAGCCGACTATTACCTAATCACTGAATCGCTTCGTTACTGCCGCGGGTGTGTGCATTAAACTGTATATATAACGCAGTATATTATATTAATTTAGAAACAAGACAAAGAATTAAGCCGATGATGAACTTTCTGCACTTTTTCCAAATCTTTGGGTTTACAAATAGAGTTGTGTAGATGAATGCCCTGGGGATCGAATAGAGAACAAACTACCGGAATGGGAGAACATCGATGTAGATTATTCAATATCACTAATACAAAATTATCTCAAATAGACTCTTACTACTCGGGTAAGCAAAGGTGATTTAGACACACTTTTTGTCATTAACTACTTCATAGGGATTAGTTGAGAAAGAGAACTGAAATTCAGGCTAGATTAATCATTTCATTCCATATTAATATAAAAAGTGGCAGTCAAATGACATATATCTGAATAAATCGACAGCTCTTTCTTGTATCCAATATAGCCCTTGTCAGAATTAATATTAAACAACGCACTTTAGATTATTCATCATCATAAAGCTTATATTAGTTAATATAATACGTTATATAAGTTATCAAAATGATAATTATCTAATGATTCATACCGTCTAAATAACACTGATTATAGATAAATTTAGAGGCGTCGTTATAAGCCTATGAAATCTTAAGAACTACTTTAACGTATTTCTGTCTGTCCTGTTGCTAATGCATTTGCACTGCTGGCAGCATGATAGACGACAATGGAGATATATTAAGATGTATTATGTTAATCTGTGTAAGTAATTTGGTCAGAAACCTGATCTCTTACATCATATCGAGGTCACCTCAGAATTGTACGTGAATGTATTGCTTCTAAAGAAAGATTGTGGAGGAGTTTCACGGGTAGTCCATCAAAATTGACAGACACATTTGTTTAAGCTGATCTTTGTCAACTTACGTTTTCTAAAACAGAAAACAAAAGAATGGCATGACGCAAACAAGCTCTACCAGGTTTAACCTAACGGTACGTTGTAACTCTCTAAATGGTCCATTTGATCACGTGATTCTAAATTAAGAACACATAACAGATTACCTATATGTATATTTCTTATAAACAAAAAATTTCACTTAAAAATATATTGATATAATTATCGCCCGATTGGTTAAGTACACAAGTCGCAGTGTATTGTATGCTAAGCCATTCTATAGAGAACATGTAGTGTGACCCATGTCCGTCTGTCTGTCCTGTTAATTTGAGAACCTCTCAACAGATTTGGTTTTCTACCTATCCCTATTGCATCAAGTTAATGAACATTCAACGCACGATTATACTTCTATGCATGGTAGAGAAGGCATTTATGTCTTAAAAACATTTGCTTTTTCATTTTGCAAAGATTGATTCAAAATTACGACGGAGAACAAGATGATATTACTAATTTTCGATAAACATATTTTTTTCATTCGATGTTTATCTTTTCATGTTTATATTGTTATAAATGTGCGGGTATTGTTTTAAGGCAAATTAGAACATGATAGTAATGTCAATAACCTGTAAATGAAAAAAAAACAGATAACTAATATTAGTCCCCTGTATATTGTGATAATATCTGTAATGTTGATTTACCGATACTTGCTAGTAAACTGTAACATTTGTGGAATAATATCATAAACAGCGGAAAGAGTAAATGAAGAAGACGATAATTTAATAGCCAAAGTCAGTCTTTAATACAACAAAAAAGTTAGCTAACTTGTGTGTATTAAAAATCATACAACATGAGTAGAGAATCATATGCTAGCTGCTTTGTAACGTGTTGAACACATAAACATTATCAATGTAATACAAAGATAAAATTGCCATACATTGTACATTGACATATATTCAAATAAACACTTATCAGAGATAAATGATGGTAAAACTGTTGTTTTATAACAGCATTGAATTATACCTGACTGGATATTTAAGCAGTTACATTGTCGACTGAGTTTCGGATATACTGTCTTACCTTAGACAAATATCCTCAAAAGAGTTCAGAATGATAGTAACCGACGCCTATATATTTAACACATACATAAAATATATAATTAATTTTACTTCATCAGTTATGTTCCATACATATGTGCATAGCGTATGTAAAATAACTTATGCCTAACGATTTTTTTTAGTTTCCGGCAGAGTTCAGGTTGTTTGTAGGAACGAAAAAAGTACATTGAGTTGTCCATCCGGTGATGTCATACGTATAAAAGAGGCCGTCTACGGTGGCGCTGACCCTATGACGTGTATGTTTGAACAAGATACATCATCATGTACCAACGTCGACGCTACACAAATTTTGGGCCCACTTTGTAACGACAAACAAACATGTGAAGTTCACATTCCCAGCATCATGTCTGATCGTTGTCCACTGATCGCCAAGCAAGTGGAGATCCGTTATGTCTGTGAAGCAGGTATATTTGCAAAATTATTCTCAAATCAAGGTATCATGGAACTCGACATAAAGACCACCTTCAAATAACAGATGTCTGTCTGGTTTCGGAACCAAATGTAATATATAATGACCGCACTTCTACGTAAAGGTTGTCTGTCTGTAAATGCAACTTTTTGCAACGTTGAGTGGTTAAGGGTAGACATTCAATAACTTTTCACGTTGACACGTGTTCTGTCTCCATCCAAAATGGAAAGACAAGTTCAAATCCAATAATGCAACTTTGCTTTCGTCGTATCTCTTATCCATGAAATGCTTGAAAATTGAATCAAAGTTATATTTTTCTCTTTTGTTTCTTTTTTTATTTCACAAATTAAAACGTACATGTTAATATCAGTCAAGATATTAACATTTCTCAAACATCATTGTACATGAAGTTTTTTTTAAAGAAATCAGTTCGTAAAAAATCTTGTTGTGCATGATATTTTCAAATACAAATACCCTAAGTAATTCAATAAAATAGACCCTTATAATTTGTGTAGGTGCACATAATTTGTTTTCTGGAGCTCAGGTAAACTGGAGAAGTCAGAAAAATATTCCTGGATATAATCGTTCTTCTGAAATAGTTCTGTCTGCTCATCGTACCAAAACACACAAGTAAATAACGTGATTCGATACTAATTTAGTACATTGAGTATGTCTGCAATTTCTGTTGTAATTTTAATTTTGTTCACGAATGATTTCAATCATAAATGATTTTGTTTATCTGATTTATAATCTTGCACTTTGTTCTTAATTTTGAACAGGATGCAAACTAAGACCGGTCGGAAACAACGGTGTTTCATTTTACAATCTAGCCAGCAAGGGAACTATTATGTCTTGTGGGCCTGGCACACGGTTTGATCAAGCGTCATGTGGATGTATCGGTACCGGTGAAGCCCCACGTATGTTGAAATCAATGATATCGACTTTTCCTCTACAAAACCTTTATTTTTTTGTACCTTCCAGTTAATGTGATTGTTTTTTCAATTATAGGTAGTATATGATTTTCAGACTGTGAAGTTTAGGTTTTTTTCTTTATTTAGTAACACGACTCGTAACTAAGTGTTAGTCCTCGAGTTTCTATTCAAAACATTTCATGATGCCCGTACATGGCTTCATTTCAAGGAAACTTTGTAACAAACTAGAGATCATACATCGTATCTACATAGGTAATTACAATGTAGGGTTAGTTGTTGACTATCTAATCATTACCTTTATAATTATGTTCAATACAAAGAGATGATAGATTCATGAAAACTCAATGAGATATCTTCCTTACTTACACTAACCTCATTCATGTTCAAGTACATCAGTTCATAGTTTTAAAACAGAGTAAATACCTATACCTTACCCTTGGTGATAAAACCTTTTAATAAGTATGTTGTTCTGTTGAATCGCATTGTTATTACGCTATATTTATATATACATACATATTCATATACATGCAAAATACAACAAATAACTTCCTGCAAATACCAACACATAAAGGAAGGAATTTCAGTCATTAGTTCATGCATTAGATAAAACGACTTGCTAAATCCCCGGGACACTAACCTTCTTTTCGGGGTTTGCTATTACTTAGACTAAATATATGCTGCCGACTCAACAGGTTCTTGCTAATTAGCATCTAAATCAAATATTTTTTATATTGTTGAGGAATCAATGTTTGAAAATATGATACAATAATATGTTAAACAAAGGGTCAAGGACTCGTAACTTACTTTACATCATATTGGGCATTTTCATTTTTTAAAAATAAGTTTTCAAATAGTTAATAGTAAACAAAGAATGCTTCAGAAGCTGCCATAAAGATACATCAAGAACAGTTTGTATTGTACAATACTTATGAAATTTATTCTTTGATCTGAGAACTTTTGTCTAAAAGACTTTGACTGATGTTTAAGTTTTTGCCAACCTTAGCTGAAAATTATGCATAATTACGAGGGAGCAAGACTTTCGTACACCATATTGTGTCTGACTGCATTAAGACGTGCTTACACGTTCCGTTATTAAATTATTAAAAAGGTTACCATTCGACAAACAGTAGGATATTTAAAACTCTCCTTTTAAGATGTTAATAAAAATATATATTTCACCTGCAGAATGCCGTCTTGAAGTGCAAGTACTTTTTGGAGAGGTCGGTGAGACAATCGTAAAGAACATGGCCGATTCCGGAATTCACATCGATGGCCATCAAGTTCTACAAGTATCCGGATACGGTCGTTTTCTAGGAAGTTCCTGGATTCAGATTCCATTCTATAACAATAATGACCGTATGTCCCGCATGTTTGGTTTCCAGTTGAGAGTCTATCCATTACCTGCTGACGCTAACAGCGCCACCAAACAAGTTTTACTATCTAACTGCCAGTCAGACCATAACATCAAGGATTCAGCCTCCCTTGAAGTCTATTTAAATACAGTGGAAAAGATAATCTATTTCCGTGCTGTAAACTTCCTTGATGTAGCCAGTGTAATATCCGTACCATACATTGTAAGTAAGAAATTCCTAGGAGTTGAGAACAACGGTCCTTTACAGCAACTTTAGATAATTAAACAAAAAGAAAGAAAGAAAAGATGGACCATTAAAGTAGAATTTTAAAAAATGAATAAATGATAATGTCTAGAGCCCTTGGTCTCATTTAGGATTATTCATTAAACTTCTAAAAATTCACTGTATTACATAAATACCTATGTTGAATTAATGGTATCTCCTGAACAGTTTCTGTATTACTTTCATGAATTTGCCGATTTTTTTTACGTAGGATGAAACATGGAGCAATGTGTTGTTTTTATTCAATGGACAATCGATGTTTGCCAAGCTTCAGTACGTTGACCCAAATAGCAAAAATTTGCTTGAAGCAACCGACACTGCTCCATTCTCAGGTGAATATTAATTAACTGGTACAAATACGTATTTTGAATCAGGGATCCTGTATATGTTGTAAGGCATATCGAAGAAACTGCACTAATACTTGATATCTGAACATTATTGTATGAGAGTTTAAAAAGTTATGCTTTGTGCTGGTATGTCCTTAGAATTCGTTGTTTAGAGAACCAACATGATGCGATAAAGATCAGAACAAAATACCGACATCTAAACAGAATCTAAGTATATCAACGAGCATCAAACGCCTTCATATCGCATATGGAAATAAAATATTTTCCAATGAGATCATTATGATAATCTGAAACCTTTCACATAATCTTCAGCAGCAGCACTTCTGAAAAGCTTATCCGTCAGATGTGTACATATTGCATGGCAATCGTGACATTGGGAACACCCCCTTGAATATCGATCCAATTGCGAAACATAAACATCATAGGTATGCAACTATATAGAGAAAGTTATGTTTTTTTCTTCATTTTATAGGTAAAATCAAAACCGGACTGAGCCCCCTGAAGATTGGAGGTTGCTGGACAAACGGTGGTGTGAAAGCTTACATCGATGAGGTGTGTTCACAACTTGGTAGCTAGTGAACGAGTTACCTTAGAATTGTCAAAAATCTTTCTTTATATTATACTAAAATAGATACCATTTTGTTTGATTATCTCAGTGGTGACGTTACGATATACTTATTTCAATTATCGTTACGTCATGGAGGCTAGAATTCTTACTCCACAGAGGTAATAATCAACTAAAAGAAAAATAATGTATATGTTAAATTCAGTTTTCATAAATGTGTCATCAACTTCAAAAATGTCTGCATCGCTCACGAATTTGTAAGACTGAGTCATAAGTTCACATTTGAAAAAAAAATGACTGCCGACGTTATTGCTGCTAGGTAAAATGGTTGCGAATTCACAAGAATTAGTCTATTTAGATACAAACCAAGATGCAAAAATGAAAGTTTCGAATGAATTCATATCTTCCACGGACGTGATCGAATCGGTGATAGCAATTTATGAAATTCCTTTTCGAGAATATCTAAATGTCATGGCTTACGCGAAACAGGTCGGCATCTATCACGTCCAGCCAAGAACAAATTCGGCCGTCACTGTTTGTAGGAAATAATCAAACCTGGTAGCTTTTTGAGACGTAGGTTATTAGATATAGGAGCTCCTAACAGCCAAAGCTTTAAATATAGAAATGTTATAGGAATTGAATTTCGATGTTATAGCCCGTAGCGTATCGTTGACATGAAAGAAATCTTAACCACCTTTAATTCCAAAGTACTTGTGATTGATTACATTAGTATATACATCTTAAACGATGTGTGAGGCTGTGTCTTATTTCTTAATATAAATTATGTGCGAAATTAGATACAAATCCGAAAACAATCATTCAAAAAAAGAAATAAAATAATAACAGGAAATACTCGGTTATAATATAAATTTTGATTTCTTTACAAAATAGAATAATATTGTAAACATATTGATTTATTACTTGTTTCAGATCCAAATGTCCTTCTGCAAAACCAGATTTCCTGATGCTTCTGCAGGTGCAGGTGCTCAATCGTCCCCCAATTCTCAAAAGCTGACAACTGCTCCTCCAGGTTCAGTCGTTCCCTAAAGCAGGCTTCAACATACCAGATGTTTCAAATAATTTGTCAATATATTTATATCGTAGTTATTTGTAAAATATGTTTATGTTTTCATTCAGTTTTCATGTAAATGTCATTGTACAGTGGCATATCCGTTAGCGGATGTCTTCAATAAATGTCAAAACGACTACACATCAACACTTTACACCTGATGTTGTCATTAATTGTACATTGCTGATTATTCGCAAATGAGGCATCATTTAATGATCATGAAACATTCCTGTTCACCAGATGATGAAACTGTTAAAGAAAGGTAATCAGATGACGACATTGTTAAATAAAGGTGACAATATGATGAAACTGTAAAATTAAGGTCACCAGATGATGAAACTGTTAAATAAAGGTGACCACATGACGACGTTGTTAAATAAAGGTGACAATACGATGAAACTGTTAAATGAAGATGATCAGATGACGACATTGTTAAATAAAGAAGACAAGAAGATGACGTTGTTAAATCAAGGTAATCAGATGATGACATTGTTAAATAAAGGTGAACAGATGATAAAAACATTATGAAGTTGGCCCGATGATGAAGGTGATACGAAGGTGACCAGATAATTAAATTGCTAAACAAACCTGATGAGGACAACATAATATAAAGGTATGCAAATTTTTTTTTTTTTTAAAGTTTATTGTCTGTATCCAACATTATGCCGACCGTAAAACTGACGACATCTTGTATAAAAAGCGTAATATCATGAAAACATTCTTGAATATCAACCGCAACATGTAAATACCAGTGGTTGGGATAGCAAAGATGCAGATCCCAGAGAACAGGAAAGGAAATTTACAATAGAAAATTGAAATTATTATGATTATCACGTCGTCGTTAAAATCTATCAGCATTGGTTTTTTATTGTTTTGTTTTTTTGTTTTTGTTTTTAAGGTAAACGCCTAGGTAAGCGGCCAATGTAGAAGAGTCTGCTTTGTTCTTGACTTCCAATGCAAATGGGTATAGGCAATGAACATGGTCAATAAATTCCTTGTCATCTCTCTGCAACAGCACAGAGAATATTCAACATTTCTTTACATATATATTAGTAAATATTTCATATACTTGGCTAACTATGAACAACATATCTTGTATCTATTCAGAGCGGATGGCCGAAGTGTTTACATTACCTAAAGTGGAGTTTTCTCCCTTCCATCATAAAATATGGATAGCATAGGATTACTTTCGCTCAGTTGGATGACTTATCCAACTGGCGTATGAAAAGTCAGTTAAATACGCTGAAAAAAAGGCCGTCAGAGATGGGTTGTGTTTCTTGAATGGGACAAAATTTAAGTACGAAAAATAACAAAGGGCAATAAGAGAGTTATGATTCTTGTGCACTGCCCTCCTTTTCGTTGAGATATATACCAAGGGTGTTTCATGTTGATACATCTTATAGGTTAAGTGTAATGTTCCGGACAAAATTAAGTATGTAAAATAACAAACGGCATTAAGAGAGTTATGATTCTTTTGCACTGTTGTTGAGATCTATCTGCCTATGAAGTTTCATGTTGATACCTCTTATAGTGTTAGTGCAATGCCCCGGACAAAATTTAAGTACGAAAAGTAACGAAGGGCAATAACTCCTACAATATTCACGAGAGAGTGATGCACTGCACTTCTCCTTGTTGAGATATATCTACCTATGAAGTTTTTATGTTGATATCTCTTATATTTTTTTGTTATGCTTCGGACAAAATTATAACGGACGAACGGACAAAGCGGCGACTATATTATGTTTTCCCTTCGGGGAGCGTAAAAAAATCAAACGAACAAAAATGACTGACTGACGGACGAGCGGGTAGATCCTTCTCCATTCCAAAAGCTTACTTGCACTTCGTGCCATGTGAGCTAGAATGGAATTCCTTTACTATAAAATTTCTCTTTCGATGTGCCGAACATTTACAAGGCGTCTCTTTTTGAGATTCATCAGTGAAAACGTCAATGGATCTGGCAATATCATAACCTGACATTGCACTAACATAAGACTTCAGAATCATAGTAATAAGCAATGATTATTACAGTATTTGTCTAAAGGGCAAATTATCCCATCCTTGACCGCCACAGTAATGGAATATGCAGGGTTTGTACGCCTAGATAACTATAACGAGTGGTCATTCATGGTTTCGTTTCATAGTAAAGTAAAGAAAAAGCCAAAGGCATTTTACACTGATGTTAAGACGTGCCGTGACATCATGTTCCAATGAAATCGACCTCTTATATCAGATAGAAGCAATATTGAATCATATGCAAGTAGTGAGTAATTGATTGTGACCGTTTGGAACAGGTCTGTGGCCTTTCTTGTTCAGATTTTACTACTGTAAGTATAAATATAAAATTAAGTAATTAATGTCACATTAATTCATTTAAGCACTTCTATATCAATGAATTTAAGATAGTATTTTTTTTAAAGTTATATATATATATATATATATATAATTTATCCTTTAATTGTATCATACAGTAAAATAATAACAAAACTACTTTATCTTTCATAGAATCCATCATATATAAAAATTTAAGGAAATCCGAACGGATCTATTTCAGTTTAGGCGGCCCTTGGGGTATGAAAACTACACTGGAGCCATGCTAATTCTAATGTTCTGTCTAACGTCGATGATTTTAGTCGTCAATACTGTACCACTTTCTAATGGACGTCTGGAGAAAGGAAAGGGAACTTCTGCTGTCCTGGATCATTTACCCAACATGGGAACGATTAGCAATGTTGCGACCGATATTCATCAACAAAATGAAGTTAGCGATAATGATATAACGTTTACGGAGGCAGCGATATCAGACTTAGTGACTCAGTTGAAGGGATATCTCCAACAGCGCAAAACCTAACTGTGCGACATATAATGAAAAACATGAACGAGGCAGTAAAGTGATAAGTGATCTCTGGTATTCAGTGTTGGTTTGTTATTCTGATACTTTGTGTAGATTGAAAAACGTGTATGAATGTCAACGAGAGTCATGCAGATTAGACGAACAAAATTCAGTTTGTAACATATAACTATATATATCAAGGAGTTTTTGTTTGGTGTGAAATTTTTATTTCTTGGGGGGAGGGGGGAGGGGAGGGGCTTGACGAGCAAACACTTTGAGGCCAGTTACATGATAATCAGGGGAAAAGGAAATCAGAAACGACACAAATTTCCGTTAGACAAAACTGCAAGAGAACTTATTAAATATGAAAACGCACTACCAAGGATGGTTAAAACAAATGACGATGAAACGACAAAGACAACAAGAAACGTTTGAACATAATTATACGCCAAATTAAAAATCGGTAAATTTAAGATGGATCTCCATGGAGACTCCTGAAAGTACAATGAGAATAAGACCATGTGTTTCGGTAGAGAAAGCGTCTTTGACATTCGCCATTTAAGTTTTGGTCAATCCAAGACTATACAAAAGACACATAAGTGAATAGCAGATTTTAATACAATTGAAATAAGACATAATAGAGTCAGACAATGAGTTAAACAGCATCATACAGATGTTTCGCCCTTCTATGGCTCGCAAGTAATGTGTGGGAGTTTAAATTTTAAACTTGGGAGGCGACTAGTCTCATAATTATATAAATTTCGTATATTTCCTATATCTGATAATATTAAAAAAAAAGTCAAGTACAGTATATGTGTATATTCTGAACCGTGACTCTATTCGAATGAATCGCAACGTGTCTTAGACATGAAGCATGAAAAGAAATTTTAAAACTTCAGAATAGGTATACTTTAAATTAAAAATTAGGTGGACAAACAAGGAGTAGGTCATTTTGTTGTGCCCTTTTTCAATTTGCAGCCAATGAAAAAGGTTCCAGGGTAGCTTACACAAGTGACATGATTCACTGGATAACAGCCGAGTATTAACAGGCTGTCTTATAAGTTTATTCCTTCTGCGAGTATGGTATCGTTCAGAAAAATGCAATATCAAGTCGCTGATAGTTAGATATCAACCGGACACACAGACCTATACACAGTTCAAATGTATCACAGGTAAGAAAATTTAAAGACTTAGTCCCAGGCATTCCGCATTTACCATCAAAATGGTAAGGGGGTAGATTAATTTTGGCATCAAATATAAACTTAATAAATTATAATAAATTGATTATGATATAAATTGAATTATAAATAAAAAAAATAAAATAAGGATGAACAAACTTATCTTTCGATGGATAACTAAATCGAATTGTTATATTTCTAATGAATTTAAACGTATATGTTGTGGTAACGACTGTTTTCCCATCATTTCACGTGTATTCGAGAACTACAACACACGGTATTAACATGTCACACTGTGATCTAACCACAAAGAAAACGGTCGGTATCATGAGGCGAAAATCTGCCTGTTTTTATTAATGAAAACGCTATCTCGTTTTTGGAAGATCTTAAAGTAAGGACAACCTTATTTAATCAGTACAAATGCTCTGTCTAAATCTCAATATTTGTTGGTTTGACATCGGGCATGCATATCCAACTTTTGACTTGGTCATTATCGCAGAGGCTAGCGATAATAGTTCTATATATGGACTATCTACCTTACCTGCCTTTTAGTGTATTTACTGGCTGGAAGGTAATTTTGTAAGTCATTCACAGGTCTGGAGTCCACAATCCATTATGCGTAAATGTTCCATAGAGTCAGCTGTCCCCAGCTAGCTGAATCCTTACAAGTTAAGTAGCCTTACAGAGCTAATGTTTTTATCTTAAGATACAACACTGAGTAAATATTCTTGTACCTTATATCCTGATCACAGAAGTTAATTGTTGGTTCTTGGGGGTTAGTGCTACGTTTGATAACATTGCATTAACACACAGTAGAACACATTGCTTGAACTTTATTTGTTTAAGTGTACACCCAGTACATTAATATCAGTAAGAATCTCCTCCCCGTTCATTATGTCCTGATGAGAGTTTAACTGGCTCTACAAAAACTTCCCAACAAAAAACATAGACCTAGAAACTCTCTGGTATGTTAAAATTCGAAAACAAACACATTCAGAATAAAACCTTTAATCTGTATTAACATATTCACAAACAAGCTACAGTATGTAAAATGTAATAAGTTTAATTACTTTTACATGATAAAATTTGTGCCCAAAGCTAAAACTGATATACCATCTTTAATAGTAAAGAAACCCCCAAGAAAAATCTACAAGGCTTAGATCCTATACACAATGAACACATTCTGACAAAGTATCATCATATGCCAAATTAATGCTGCTCTTTAAACTGAAATTTATTTTACTTCATAAATTCAGTTATATGTATAAAACAAACATGAGGAACTGCCTGCAGATATTTTTTTTACCATTAAACTTTGCTTTAACTCTACACAAAATATAGTTATGATAATCATATATAGCATAACTATAGAGAGAATAAAACCTGGAACTGAGACTATAGAGAGAATAAAACCAGGAATTGAGACTATGACATCACCAGAGGTACTGGCACTATTGTAGGTATGCAATGTTGGCTTTACCATGGCTGGAGAACACATCATCAAACTTCTGTGAGTTTATGGAGAAAACAGCTCTGAACACATGGCAATATCATGGTATAATTTTCCTAAATTGTTGGAAACTTGTATACATAATTCATCGCATAGTTTTTTTTTTTTTAAATCAATGGAGGAAAACTCTGTATCATTTCAATGCCCCCTGAAGTGTAGCAACCAAATTTCTTTTCCCTAAAACAAAACAAAAAGCAACTTATATAGAATGCAATTGTTAAATTCATACATCCTGTACACATAGACAACATTCCATCTTAAGGAATCAATATTTCAACACCACATGTGTAAACAAGTAGTGGGGTGACATTTTCCTGTTTACAGATATCTACTTTATCGACAGAAGGGCTGAAAATTTAAATTCCTGATGAAACAGATGTTTGAGAGAAAAAAGTACAGAGAGCCTACATTAATTCAAACAATCATGGTAATAACATGACAAATATTTCCCCGATATAAAATAATACCTGCATGATTACGGTGTTCACACAACCAAATCCCCTGCCATGTGCCTAAATTCATCTTCCCCTCTGTTATTGGAACATTGACTGATGCTCCTAAAAATGCAGCTTTTACATGTGCAGGCTGGAAAATTAAATACAGGAGTTTGATCACCATGGCACATTGGCTATACATTCACAGGTATGTAACATCACAATTTAGGGTTCAAATATTGTATAGGATTTATTATAGTCTGCCAAGTATCAACAAATTTGTCAATTATGTTATAATCACATTGAAATCTCCTATATATATGTACCTGATGGATAATTGACGTTGAAACAACATTCTGCTATTTGTATATTGGTCACATCAACTATGATATATTCCTTGTCTGATCCTATATCCAAAATAACTTCCACAGATGTCTATGCAAACATTTCTAACTCTCTCCAGTATCATGATACAAGTGATAATATTTTGACCCTGCCTACTGTAACAAAATGGATAGTAAAAGTACATTTTGGGTCAGAAATTAAAGTACAAATGGTATCTCAGGGAGCAACAACAACAGGTGTCATAAGTCAGGCACTGGACCAGGCTTAACGACATGTGAGTGACAGGTAGTAATGCACGCCAGATAACGGGAAGGGTATGCACCTCAGTGTTGAAACAATGTGGCAGAATATCGCTAGTATGAGTGATCAGAACAGGTTGATGCTCTCTCCTGTTTACCTCGTGCTGGCGAACGTATTTGTGAGTAAACAAGATAAGAAACAATGTATAAGGTAGATCAAAGATGGGAAGTTGATGATGGGTACTCTAGTCGCACGTGCCTTCATAATTAGATGCTCCGTGGGTTGGGTTATTGTTGTCCAATAGGGACTGGGCTGAAATTAAGTATTTGGGTATTATTTATACTAAGACAATAGCCAGCAGAAGTTAGTCTGGGATCGAGTAGCTAGAGAGAGTTTGTAGTTGGGAGTCGGACCTGGAGATGGGCAGAGTCCCGTATGGACCTGCTCCGCGATGAAGTGGGCCATGGCCAAGTTGGCCCAAGGACATTAATATGGAACTCTTTGATGTGGACGGGTAACCTATAGAACATGATGATGCTTCTGTATGTTGGAACAAAATTCCTTGCTATAGATCATCCTAAACTAGTAACCAAGGCATTTTGTCAGTATTTTGTGGAATGAGACTCTACATCAAAATTGGAAAAAAATTACTATACACCTGTTTTATTTACCTGACAAAGCATCAAATCTCAATAAATACAAGAAATATTTCATTTATAATTGACTCAACATAGTAAGAATGTATTTTTTATTCAACCAGCACCCGAAAAGTGGAAAATAAAACACTCCCTCAAACCCTAAAAAGCTTGAACAATCGGAATATCAAAATCAAATGAACATAATTTAAAGCTTTTAACACAAGAAATATTTTTATAGACTTTCAAATTTTTCATACCAATTACTGAGGTAGCATTAGCAAAAACAAAGGAGGATTTTAGATTTTGAATGGGGCTTATTCTACCTACAAATGCTTGGCAAATCCCTCCAACTTCAGGAACTCCTCCTATATCTCCTTTACACTTGATTAAGAAATAAGTCAATGTTTTGTCATATGCCTACCCATAAATACTGCAGTTTATCAGAATTACAGACAACTACTATTTAATCATTGTGTCATATAAGCATGGTAATTCCTGTTCTTTTGTATGTTGGCCTCCTGGAAAAATAATATTCTGCCATTTTCTTATAGATAATTATAAATATTCCCCGCATTTTTAGGACAAACTTACACATGTAACATCTGTATTTTTTGTATTTTGTACCCCTTAACCTCTTCAGATAAACAAGAGGCCCATGGGCCTTAACGGTCATCTGACAAAAAGCAAGCCAAACCTAGAAAGTGGTTGAGGTCATTCATTTGAACAAACTTGGAAGCCTCTCCTCCAAGCATCTTACAGGCCCAATATCAGCACTCATGGACTTTTGCTTGTTGAGAAGAAGTCGTTTGTATATTTTAACATATTTGACCCCTGTGACCTTGAAAGTGGGTTGAGGTCATTCATTTGAATAAACTTGGTAGCCTTTCCTCCCAGCATGCTACAGACCCAATATCGGCACTCATAGACTTTTGCTTATTGAGATGAAGTCCTTTGTATATTTTAACATATTTGACCCCTGTGACCTTGAAAGTGGGCCAAGGTCATTCATTTGAACAAACTTTGTAGGGCTCCATGCCAGCATGCTATGGGCCAAGTATTAGCCCCCTAGGCCTTCTAGTATTTGAGAAGAAGTTATTTAAAGATTTTGACATATTTGACCCCTGTGACCTTGAAAGTTGTTCAAGGTCATTCATTTAAATAAACTTAATAGCCTTTCCTCCCAGCATGCTACAGACCCAATATCGGCACTCATAGACTTTTGCTTATTGAGATGAAGTCCTTTGTATATTTTAACATATTTGACCCCTGTGACCTTGAAAGTGGGCCAAGGTCATTCATTTGAACAAACTTTGTAGGGCTCCATGCCAGCATGCTATGGGCCAAGTATTAGCCCCCTAGGCCTTCTAGTATTTGAGAAGAAGTTATTTAAAGATTTTGACATATTTGACCCCTGTGACCTTGAAAGTTGTTCAAGGTCATTCATTTAAACAAACTTGATAGCCCTTCATCCCAGCATGCCACAGGCACAATATCAGCAATCTGAGCCTTTTGGTTATTGAGAAGAAGTTGTTTAGAGATTTTAACATATTTGACCCCTGTGACCTTTAAAGTGGGTCAAGGTCATTCATTTGAACAAACTTGGTAGTCCTTCATCCCAGCATGTCACAGGCCCAATATCTACACTCTGAGCCTTTTGGTTAATGAGAAGAAGTTGTTTAAAGATTTTAACATATTTGACCCCTGTGACCTTTAAAGTGGGTCAAGGTCATTCATTTGAACAAACTTGGTAGAGCTCCATGCCAGTATCCTCTGTGCCAAGTATTAGCCCCCTAGACCTTCTAGTATTTGAGAAGAAGTCGTTTGAATGAAAAGTTTACGGACGGCGCACGGCGCACGGCGCACGGCGCACGGCGCACGGCGCACGGCGCACGGCGGACGACGACGGACGAAGCATGATGACTATAGGTCATCGGACCCTTCGGGTCCGATGACCTAAAAATTCATACCTCTCTACAGAAAGGTTTCCTTGTATTTGTGTATAACTCTTACTTGTAATCTGTAATTTTCTTGCATTGATAAAGCTAGAACTAATTGCAGACTATTTAATAGATCTGCAATTAGCGTAAAAATAATCCTGCCATTAACTTGTATTATGTACTAATAACAACTTGTGTACATAACAGAATGAACTGTCTGAGACAACATTAATATTCATACCATGTCATCAGGTCCTTCACAGGAATGCTTGAATGGCGTACTCTGTCATGAGAAACAAACAATCATTTTAACAAGAATTCACAAAGTAAGGTAGGTAAATCACCAGTAATCTTTAGAAAAAGATTTTTTGGTGACGTGACCTCATGTTTAAGGATGCCAGTCTTTTTTAAATTTACTTCCCAGCATTACTTACATCCAACAATACAGATGGGTAGCATAAAGCAATTCAGGTGACTTATTCAAAAGAAAATAACTCTAACACAATACTAATTATATATAATGTTTCTTCTTTTTCTTAAAGCTATTCATAGGAAATGTTTTAATACAAGTAGTTTACTTACATCAGGCACCAGTTTGTTTAGCATCATCTCCATATCAACTCTGCAAATGCAAACCAAATTATTTGAAAGTAAGTTTATACATGTACATACATGTACTTCTGTCAATGTAAAAGTTGTACTAAGATCTTACAGATGTAGCCATCATTATTCTGGGCCTTATGATTCTTAAAATGAAGATGAAAACATTAGTTATAAAAATATTTTCAACGTTTACAAACCAAAGTAATGTGTTACTAGATTTTTTCCTTACAATAAATATACCATACCTAGTATGTTAGGAAGATTGTATCGATATATGTCATGTAATTTAACTTACCTGACATCTGGATCCCAGTTCTGAAGCAACAAACAATACATACAATGTATTTTATTGCAGGTAAAAACTTTTGTAGTTATAGAAAAAATTGTTTCCAACAATAACTTAATTACAGAAATTACAATATATTATCATCTCTAATCTACAGTGAAACTTATTCAACAAGGTAATTAGTGTTTTTAAAAACAAAAACATTTCAAACAAAATATCATTATTACCTCCAAAAAACATAAGAATAGAAACAAAATTATTTTGTAAGTTTGTAAGTAAAATTGAGAGCAAGATATAAAATATATCAAATATTGAGACAAGAACTCATAAACACCTTATACATACCTCATTTAAACATAGACTGGCTGACGTATGTTTTACTGAAAAAATATTGTACATGAAACTAAAAACATATGATACAAAATGCACTGCATCTATGTGTATCTTAATAATTTCAAGTATGCTGACACATATTTTCGTATAGGCATAAGCATATTACAGGATATTGAAATAGTCTTTTTTTTCGTATTTGCAAAACTAAAACAGATGCATGGGATGGCATGGATGGGCTTATCACCATAACTGAGCTTATACATGTAGGAGGATAAATGTGATACTATGATCATATTGTTGGTTCCACCTTTTACATTTTAATGCTGATTTTTTTTTTCAGATTAAAAGTTGAAGTTACATGCCCTGAGATAAAAATCAAAACTACTATTCAGTAAAGAAGAATGTATTGTTACATTTTGAGAGGAGGATAAAGATAATGGTGTTGTGATTTAGAAATCAAATGAGTTTCACATACATGTTGTAATAGAAATCTTGAAGGCAGGTATTGTATCATTACAACTGGAAAATAGATAAAGACCAAAATGTGGTCAATCGGTTCATCCAAATTGATAACCAGCAAACCAACAAGTACAATAGTACACATATTAATCTATAATGAAAGCAAAACCATTAAAAACACAACACATAACATCAACATACTACATTCATAATTTCTGTTTCTCCGAAAACTGAATATGAAAGCCTTTTCACAACAAAGTCTGTAAGCACTGCATGATCACTTCAATCATACCTCCTCCATGGAACACGCTATTCAAGGTAGAATCAGATCAACACAATCAAGGCCAACCATTGAATCCAGATCAAAGGCTCCTAACAGAGATCTCAGCATCTCTGGGGTCACATGAAGATGTTACAACAATTCCAAGAGAGCTTCATCTGGTACGCTCTCTGGACACACAGTTCTAGTTAACATGGAACACAGCCTTAAGGACAGAGAGAGAGAGAGAGAGAGAGAGAGAGAGAGAGAGAGAGAGAGAAATGCAGCTTACAGTATCATGGAGACACATGTCTGGACAAAAAACAGTTTACAGACTCATGGACACACAGGCCCGGATAAAATACATGTGACAGTCTTGTGGACACACAGTCCTGGACAAGATATAGCTTACAGTCTCAACTCCTAAGTAGCTTTATCCAGAACACTTTCTAGACACACAGATCCTTTTCACAGATACAAGGTACACAGCCTCAAGGACACGCAGTCTGACAAATACAGCATACAGTCTCATATACACTCGGTCCTGGACAATGGACAATGTACAAAGCCAAAACAGCTTCAAAGTCCATAACTTGGAAATAGAAGTACATGGTTTACAGACAAACAGCCATTAAAACACCATGCTGATAAAACATCATATTGAAAGGCACCAGTCCTTTGGTTCCCTAATGACCACCAATATCTGAAGATGGACCCACAACCCTCCAAATAGTACTTTTCCTACACATGACGACCAGTTGCCTAACATACGACTTGTAACATCAAAGGTCTGTCTGGTACTGCCAAACCCTGCCTTGTGTATCTGACAAAATGCATGGTATGTGCATGCTTATCACACATTCCTCAACTTACCTAAGAGCTACCCAGTGCACACACTGGCTGTACATTGGCCTGACAAATTTCTACACCAACTTGTGGCACAGCACATGCTTAACTAGTGTGTTAATGACCTGCCACAATGAGTAGCCTCCGTAGCAAACGACCAGTAATCATCTTGTAGTAATGAGTATTCTGATACACGGTAGATCTTCTTGTGTACCTGAATATGACTTTTTATTTATTTTTTCAATAAATATAGTAAGTCAATTGATGAATAAGCCATTTTGAAATAAGGTTTTATGGTAACTACGTGAGTTTTTAATTTTGACGCTTTTGAAATTAAGCATCTGACTGTTATAAAATAGTTTATTCTACATTTACGTGTCATGCCGTATAAAATTGACATGCATATCAACTTTGCAAGCTCATGACATATGACTGTACTGTCTTTTACAGATGGTTTTCATCTATACTAACTATGAAGATTCAACAATCCAATTTTCATGTTTGCTATTTCTGGAACTTTAGCTCCCACTTCGTCTGAAATGAGATGACATCCTCTCTTTTTAGCAGAAACTGCAAATTCCCTCTGGAACCAGACAGTCCCTTGATAACCTTTGCTTGTTGCCGCCATGTTGTTTCTTAACATCCGAGTCCTACAGACGCTCTAATAGTGGGCACATTCTAAAACATTGTTCGGTTTGGTCTGTCTGGTCCGAAATTTTGGTAATGTGTTTTCATTGATACGTTTGACTGCGAACGTATTTAGCGTGGTTTGACCAGAGACGTAAATAGCACAGAGTGTAGTGTACCCATACCTGCATGTCTTTCCATTTCCGGATTTTTTTTTTGCTCTCATAAACTTCTGACGTGTAAGCAGGCGGTTGGCCAAATTGGATCAGAACAAAAATCGGATCACCAATTAAAAAGTAACTCTAATAATTTCATGCAAATTTAATCGAGCATAGTATTATTTTTGTACAAACGCTTGGGATCCGTTTACCGATGTTCTGAGAGAGAACTTCACCGAATGGGCAAGTGGCGTTAAATTAGATTTATTTATAATTTGACGAAATATCTAGCACATGCTATAAAGGTACAGAGCTTCAGTCTTTATCAAGAAAAATGATAAGAAGAATAAGATACCCAAAAGTATTGATAAGCTGGTCATAGCCAATAATCAATGAATGGAGAGAATTTACGCGGGCCCGTTACGGCGAATATCGTGCTATGTACATGTAACTTAGTCATTATTCATTAACAGTATCCTCGGCAGGTAGTGCAGACCATCTAGCTCCTTTGCCTTTCCACATCAACACCATATTTTCTTTGTTGCATCATATTGCAAATTCATATTGTGTACGCAAAATCGCTCCGCGTGTTACTGGTATAAAGTTTCGCCCGGTTGCCTTCCGATTACAGTAGTTATTTAATATATTTCCTGCTTGCTTCAGATTGTCACCCAGCCTGTTTTGAAGATATCTATACAAATATATATATTTGGTAATGGCAACAGTAATATAGTTCTTTATCCTAAAAACTGTTGCTGCAATGCACATGTAGTCAGAATACAACTGCCACATGTATTTTGACTTTGTATTCTGCAGTGACGGAAACAAATCGTATTTTAGCACGTGCATTAATTGAACAGAATAACTAATGATATAATTAAATAATTAATCAAGAGATATAAGTGTGTAATAGTTAAGCTATCTTGTTTGTTGTAACAAACAGATTTATTTACGAAAATTAGGAAAATTGCTTTTAATATCCATTGAAGTGTGGAACTATATTTCCGCGACTCGCGGAGCAGCTATGAGCAACTATTTTGGTATGTGTCATCAGACATAATTCAGCATAACGTCAACATTAGGTAAACGGAAATTCAAAAGCCCTAACACACCGTTGAAATGTCAGTAGTCTGTTGTTTTTTTTATCTTTTCAAAATACAGCTTATATTTAAAGACATTGGTCATGTATTCTCTATATCATGTTCCATCTTACCCTTTTGAGTGATAAAGATGGAAGTTTCGATTTTTAGTCTCTCTTGCATGCAGAGAAAGTGAAAGACTTGTAGATAATAGACCTCCAGTGAAAGACTTGTAGATAATAGATAACAGACCACCAGTGAAGGACTTGTAGATAATAATAGATAATAGACCACCAGTGCAAGACTTGTTGATAATAGTGCTGGCACTCGGATAATAACCCCTCTATACATTCCGGTCGTATAAATGCAATGCAGTTTCAAAGGCACATGTACAGTTTACGACTGACATTTGTAACCATTGGTGTGAATATATACTGACCGATTCACTTACAGTAAATAAAACAATAATGACGAATCATGAAAGCATTATTGAAGAAGTGTACAATGTATAGATTATGTTGACGTTGATACTTACATGTACAATAATTTTTTAACGAGAAGTATACGATGTAGCCATGTAGCCATGATTATAACAGAGACATTCATTCTTTATTTTTGTTTTATCTGGGTTCAGAATACCTTTCAGATACTTTCGTGAATTTCAAAAAGGTAGGACGAGACAATAATAGATATAGGGGCTGTTAGATTTCCAGAAAAAAAAAAAAAAAAACACTCACACACACACACACACACACACACGCACGCACGCATACACACACGTCTTATACATGTAGTACGGGTCAGTTACTACAGGTGTATGTGTGACGTCATGAAATAATCGCATCAATATAGACACAATGCCTAAAAAGCACCATGGCATATCGATAAAATACTATTTAACGATTATTGGCAGATATCAAATATCTGTTATACATTTATACGTATAAATTAATCAATCCTTTCAAATATAATGCTTAGTCAGAGAGGAGATTTTATTCTTTTAGCAGTAGTTTAAAACATTATCTATCCCATCTGTTTAAAGATCTAACACTTTTACAGGCAAATAATTCTACTAGTTTACAAACGCTTGGACGTCAATAATAGTAATTTTCAATGTGCGTTTTTTTTTAAAAATCAGAACATGCTGGACAAAGTAGTACAAAATGTACTTCTCTTCGACGTCATTTTTATCACACAGTGTACATACTCTCTGCCGTCTTGGGGTGTTATTATAGCGCCCAGATTTTATGTGTAAGATTGTGTCCTTGCATGAGAACTTGAATCAGTATTTTTTTTAAACTTAAAATAATGTGCTTTGTCAGATAGAACTGGGTACAAAAGGTATCAACAAGGTGCTTGTACATACCTTGAGCATACGTTTGCTAAATTGATTATCGTTTTGTATATATTGGTTATTTCAAACATAGTTTAATACCCAAACTACATAGTTCATGCTTAATTTTACCAACCCAATTAATTTTACAATTAGACTTTCTAATATCTAATTCGACTAATGCGTCATAACATGCCTTTTATCTATATTGTAGTTTCTTTAGTGATACATATATATATACAACGTCATTGCATTATTATTATCCATGTGTATTTAGTATCAATTATTGATGAGACAATCTGTATTGTAGTTCCTTTGATGAGATGATATACAGTATTACTGCATTGTTACTATCAATGTATATCTATAACTAGTACAGATGTATTGATTCGACAATCCTGCAACATTGATCAAACGGAAAATTAATGACACTTATAGTGCCACAGATTTACAAATTACTTTCTGCGATATAAACTTGCGTTTTGTTTTAAAAGAAGTAAACAGAAAGTAATGTCACAAAAGTTGGCGAGATCAATTTGAAAGTTGAGATTTATACTATACTATTTGTTCTGAAAAAAAATATAAGAGTTTTTTTGTTTTGTTTTGTTTGTTTTGTTTTTTTTTTTTGGAGAAAAATGGTATATAAAGACAGCAAAGCTCATTAACTATCATTGATACAGTATTATCAGATATCAAAAGTAGAAATACATTTCTGATTTTATCTGACATAGTTGACTTTCAAGATTTGGCTAAAAGAAGATTTAATTATGTTGGCGGGCTAGTATCGCATTTAGTACATTTTATATCATATATTTTATATATTATATCAAAGTATTGACTTGTTGCTCAAAAATTAAGAACATGGATTGATCTTGCAACAACCAAGTAAATTGATTACATAATAAATTGACTCATTGACTGCTATTTATAAATGCAAGTCATAAAATTTAATGAGAAATTAAATGTACGAGTTCAATGAACTCGAGATTTTCTCTGTATTATGTATTTGTAATGAATAGAAGCATTGCCACAGAAGAGAAAAAAAAGTCTTTTTAAAAATGCTGTGGTGAATCAATCATTGTTCTTCTTTCTTTAGTGTAATGGGTTACTTTAAGATATAGTTAGCCGTAGATGTTGTTGATTTCGTCCAATCCGAATCCTTGATCAAACGTTTTCAATTGTTAATCTTCAAATTTTGATTGCTACAGTAATAATAAATTGTTCTGTTAAAATGTATTTTTCAAATTCTTGATCTTCTCGAAGTTTTATTTGTTTTAAACCAAATCCAAGGATGTCTTTATCATACGCCCCTGACCAAATCAGATGATTTCTTCGTATATTGACTGTAGTAATCATAGTCATATAGGACATAGAGTCAGACGATGTGAAATTAGCCAATGAAAGATGGCTATAGTTCACACCCATTTAAGTTTCTTTACTGTAAAGTTATATTTATAGTACATGTCAGTGTATATTGGACGAATTAGGAAATAAGTTGTAGGACTTCTGTAAAAAAATCCCAGTAGCCATTGTCTCTTACCTTAAGGTGAGAAAATAAAATAAATATGAAAAACATTTTTAAAAAATTGGAAGTGATGGAAAAACCACGTTAACAGCGAGAATCGAACCATCGTCGTCGTCTGGTTGGACGACATGCCTCAGGGGCCATCAAAGGGAAAGCTAATAGTTCATATCGGAATTTATAGATAATCAAACAATCATTCAAGTAAACTTTTCATATCATAGACTTTTAAACATCAATGTATGAAATAAAAATGTTGCTCAAGTACTCTGACATCATACGAGATATAAAGTGACAAATTGTATGATTTTTTTCTTTTCTGTAATTTCTCCTTCATTGCACCTTCTTGTACCAGGAAGTTGCCCCTATTTTGCAATAACGTGAAATGGGCTAGAACTCGGCGACAAGTAAAATAAATGTGGCGGATATTGTTGAAAAACGGAGACATCACACAGTTTCGGTATAACGTCAGTTGATGTTGTTTAAAGAATCAGCCCACCGATCCTGAAGAAAATCTGCTTGGTGTCGACGACAAAAACGAAAACAAACAAAAGATGGCAACTCAGGCGGTGGAAATTTGCGATTTGCCACCATACACAGCGATGTTGTGGTCTCAATTCCAGGCTTGTCCACCTCTTTTGTACAATCTATTCGAGTCCACAGTACGCCCTGGAGATGTGTCTCATCGGTCCGACCGAGTGTTTGACATGTCAGGATCACTGATCAGTCACAAACTGAGGTAGGTGACCACATATCGAACAAGTCTGGCGTCGCCATTTCTGTGATTCTTTGTTATGATTTCATTTGCTGAATTGATTTTAAATTCCATGGGTCATGACGTGAGTTATTTACTTAATGTAAACTTAAACATACTACATGTGATCCATTCGATTGCATACAAGTTGATTTCGCTGAATTTCGGGAGTAAAATATTTAAAATCTTTAAAGGTATTTTACTATGCAAAAGTAAAGAAGGGAGATAACTAGTGTACACTATATAAATAAGGATTAAGGATGATTGCATCAGAAGCTATTCATTTTGTTTGTTGCTTCCCTTTCATCACTAAGTCAGCAGAGTAATAATAACAGTACCTTATGATTATAATTATGTGTGCCACTGGTCTGTTATCCTCATTTTATGTACCGATTCTTGTCAATATTGTGTGCATGTAGAAGGAGTAATGAAAAAAAAACACTGTCACAGCATTCGAACTAGCAACCTTTGATCTCTAGTCAGACAGTCTACCACCACTTGACTGAAGGAAAATTCCACTAGCTGAAGCTATTCAGGTGACCTGTACACTCAACGTCTACACTTCTCTCTGCTTCACAAAGTCATGGACTGTGACAACAAAAAACAACCCAGGTTCGATATCTCCAAGGAAGCATATCCATCTCCAAAAATTTCTACCCTTGGAGTTGTCAACATCACCAAATCTGTAAATGTAAGGAGTGTTGAAAAACACCTTGCCCCTGGTGGGATTTGAAGTACATGTAGCAACCATGCGGTTTCTAGTTGGACTCTCAACTGCTTCAATAAAGGGAAAATTCCCACTAGCCGAGGCTAGTTAGATGACGTGTACTATCAACTTTTACACATGCATGTATGGGCCAGAATTCATTTTAGTGCTGAGTGAGAAAAATGTGGCAAAAATAAATTGGAAACACCCTAGGAAAGTTATTGTTGGCTCTTTGCAAGATTCCTTTGTCAGAGTTCTGGAGTATATGTATTAATTGATACTTTAACAAATATTTTTTTATTAATTTAGCATCTTTTGAGGAATTTTGATGGACACACAGCTTCAATTATAATTTTTTCAGAAAGTTAAGAAGTCATTAAAATGTCTTGAAACTAAAAATTTTTATTCTAAACAATGTTCGTTTAAAATAAGAAATAAAAAAGTGGGAATATCAATAAAACAATTCCAGAATTTTGTTATTTTATATACATATGTATGTAGTGCACAACCTATAGGCACATTGCTCACTGGAAAAGATAGAGATAAATATACACATTATTCTGTTGTATCAGGGAACTAATTACATAATTAAAGTACTTGTGCACTGTTGCTCTATCACATCAGTTGTAAAATGCTAAGAAGTCTTGTAAAGTTGATGAGACAGTCTCAGCTTTCAGAGGGTGTTTCCACCTAAAAGATAGCAAGGATAATAAAAAAAAACCCACAAAAGATATAAACTTTCTATACAAATATATTAACATTGTAGTTTAATACATGTTTTTGAAATTGCAGTGAGCTCACAGTGAAAAATGTTGAAGAACTTCATCGTTTGACCAATGACCTACTCAGTATGCCGATCTTATTCCACATCAAAGTGGAACATCAGCGTACCGACAACTATGTTGTGGTCAAAGTGCGCAAGAAGTGGAAAGGTACATTTTATCTATATTTTGATATCAGGTACATTTTGTGCAGGGTATCTTAGGGCAAACAAGTTCTTGTGATGACCTACCTGATGTTGTTAGTGTCTTGAAATTTAAAATACACTAAAGAATCTTGATTAGTACATTTTGGAACTACTACTACTACTAGTAGTATTGTTATTAGGTTCCATGGTCTTAAATATTTTAAGTGCAAAAAAAAAAAACCCCTATTACTGAGAAAGAATTGATTTTCAAAAAAAAATATATGGTACTACAGGAATAGAACGCCAAGAGCAGAAGGGGCCTGAAATATTCTCAATTGCTAACCAACTGTCATCCAATGGTGAAACTATCAAATTTGTCTATGCTCTGTCTGTATGTATGTCTGTTAGTCATGCTGTCAACAATATCTTGCAATATTTGTGGAGAAGCTCTGAATGGATTTCCTTGACACATTATGAATAAGTTGAATATCGATCCTGGAATATTATTGTGGGTCACATTTTAATTTGAGCTTCATGAAATAATCAAGATGATTGCCAGTGACCAATGTAGGTTTTGACTTCTCAGTTAAATTTGATATATAATTTCTGAAGAAGTACAGACATGATCTCCATGAAATTATGAAGATGACTTTGTCCAATAAGAGTCAAACACATTTAATTGTACATTCCTCGTCTTAAGCATCATTCATAATGGCTGACAGGAGCCATTCTTTATTTTAACTCGGAAAGCTTATTGCTGCTCCAGAAACTGGAAATATGCTCTGTATGGAGTTGTGCATTTAGGGCTTCTATATTGAAAGTTTGTTTAATGTTGCTACTCTCCTGATGACGTCTCATTGAAACTTGATGAACTTATTCATTCTGGGCTCAAGGTATGCATGGTACCCTTTGAGTGTCATTGCAATTGGAATTTAAGGGTTAGTTGGATATACTTGGGAGAGCTGCAGGAGGCCTCTTCGATTTTTGAAAAACAGAGGACACTTTAAAGTTTGAAAATAGACCTCTAAAACTCAATTTCAAACACAGCAATATAGAAGTATTTGAACCTGGTACTATGATTTTTTTCTCCTGTGATATGATTCTAAAGGACCCATATATCTCAATCAAAAAACAACATGGCAACATAATTATACTTTAAACTCAAATTGTATATAAACTAAGGCAAAAGGTGAAGAAAAAAAAAAGATTTACAAGGAAACTCCTGAAAAAGTACAAGGAGAATAAGACCAAGTGTTCCAGAAGGGTAGGCGTCTTCTGCTTCATCGACGATACCTGCCATGTAAACTTTGGTCAACCCAAGTAAGTAATGTCATATCTCAGAGGAGAACAAGGTATAAAACAAAGGAACCAACAGGCAAACTAACAAGCACGAAATACATCCAGCTTCATGTCTTACAAAGAAATAGAATATTTCTCAATGAGATCACTATGACGACCATAAAACTTACCAATAATTTTCACCAGACTGCATCTTTTGAACCTTTATGTTACGAGTTTGTCAGTCAGTCGATGACTTCTTGCATGAAAATCCTGATAATGTGAACAGGCCCTTGAATATTAAATCAACCGTGACATGTAAATATCATAGGTTGGAGATGCAGGGATATTGCTATCCAGTAATGGAAAATTCACAATAGGGAAATTGAAATCATCACGTATATGATACAACTTGATGGAAAACTGGAAGAGTCTGTTGTATCTTTTTGATTTTCCAGTTCTGATAGATATATACAATAGATATAGTCAATAAATTTCGTGTTATTTAAAGACAAGGTGTCATCGATATATCTGAAGGTGAAATTAAATGACTTTGCGATCCGCTGTTGGTTCCCATAGGTATACTAAGAAGAAGGTAAATTTCTTATAGAGCCAAACGAAGGAAAATTTTCAATTGTGAGAGTCAAGATTTCTTGTGGATCTCGTTATCTTAATTGTCTTCCCTTTTTTTATAGTTGTGAAAGACTTAAATTTTGCCAATTTTATATCTGTAGATGAGTTTGCTGTGTTGGTCAACACAAGACATCCCAGGATTCGGGAATTGATCACTCACAAACTTACCCAGGCCATGCAGTATATGCAGGAAGGAAAAAATTTTTGCCTGAAGGTATGACATTAAATTATCAGCTTCCTGCAATGCATTTTATATTTCACAATTATCACAGTGTTGCTGCATGTGTGTGTAAATATGTATAAGTGCTTTCATTTCATGAGATCATTCGCTCAAATATTCAAAGGATATAATATTAAGGATCAAACAAATTTTCCTCCATGGGCGTAGCATTACATTGTTGTATAATAACTATACAATGTGTTACAGCTGGACTTTGGACCTAGTGTCAGACAATGGTACAGTGGCATCGTTGACAGCCAAGTGTCCTTCTGTGACAATCGCTCTAACAACGACTCGGGTCACATGACTATTTGGGTGACAAACTACTCAACACCGATGGAGTGTTGCACTTCACTTCTGTGTATTTGCCTTTGCTTTCCCCTCTGGCTTGTGTGTGGGGGACCGTGTTATGTGGTGAGTTAATTGATACTGATGAATATTAACAACATTCTCTCCAGCAATAAGCTCATGTCTGTTAAGAAGTCCACCTATTTTTATCTCTGTTCCATAGAATTACAAACAATACTATTTCATTGTCTTGAAATATTAATCAAACCCCCTGACTTTTAATTGTTCAGTAGAATAACTAACAAATGTTACATTGAAATGTAATAAGCCCACTCCCTGACCTTGAGCCAGAATTTGTGTTTTTTCAGCCATTGTCCCCTAGCTGTACTCAAGGATAAAGAAGTACTTTACTTGGAAGCAGGAACCCTAGGGATCAGATATAATACCTCTGACTCAAAATTAAGGAACAATTTACTGCAAGATAAAGAAATATCCTTTAGTTGGTAGAACATCAAAAGATATGACTGGTTTTATTCATAGTGTGTCTGACCCATTTGTTATTTCTGCTGAAATTGACTTGCTGTTGCTAGGGGATAATGGTTTATTTATGAAAGAGGTATTGCTTTGCTCACAGGATATCAGATTACACATGATATCTGATTAGACAGGTGTTTTATGTTCACATAATATCAGAATAAAAAGGTGTGCTATGTCTACAGGATATCAGATTAAAAAGGTGTGTTATGTCTACAGGATATCAGATTAAAAAGGTGTGTTATGTCTACAGGATATCAGATTAGAGAGGTATGCTATGTCCACAGGATATCAGAGGTTTGCTATGTCTAAAGGATATCAGATAAGAAAGGTATGCTATGTCTACAGGATATCAGATTAAAAAGAGAGGTGTGCTATGTCTGAAGGATATCAGATTAAAAAGAGAGGTGTGCTATGTCTACAGGATATCAGATAAGAAAGGTATGCAATGTCCACGGGATATCAGATTAAAAAGAGAGGTGTGCTATGTCTACAGGATATCAGATAAGAAAGGTGTGTTATGTCTACAGGATATCAGATAAGAAAGGTGTGCTATGTCTACAGGATATCAGATAAGAAAGGTATGCAATGTCCACGGGATATCAGATTAAAAAGAGAGGTATGCTATGTCTAAAGGATATCAGATTAAAAAGGTGTGTTATGTCTACAGGATATCAGATTACAGAGGTGTGCTATGTCTACAGGATATCAGATTACACAGGTGTGCTATGTCTACAGGATATCAGATTACAGAGGTGTGCTATGTCCACAGGATATCAGATTAAAAAGAGAGGTGTGCTGTGTTTGAAGGATATCAGATTAAAAAGGTGTGTTATGTCTACAGGATATCAGATTAAAGAGGTATGCTATGTCCACGGGATATCAGATTAAAAAGAGAGGTGTGCTATGTCTACTGGATATCAGATTACAGAGGTGTGCTATGTCTACAGGATATCAGATTACAGAGGTATGCTTACTGACTGAATGTCTGACTGTATCAATTGGCTTTTGCAGACTCACAGAAAACTGAAATGCATTGATGAAGAACAAGAATTCACCGACCTTCCTGTGACCTTGTTGTCTGGAGTGACCCGAACTGTCACTATTCAGCATCAGCCACCTGTTCCTCAGGCCCCTTATTACCCATCAGCCCCACGGAGTCAACAGTATCCAGCACAAAATCCAATGGCACAGCCGGCTTATAACATGCAAGGCATGCCCCAGGGACCACAAGTACCACTGGGCCCACAGGGTCCTTACCCTACAGAGGCACCCCCGAATTACCCTGGACCACCTCCACAGTACTCAGCCTGATTCATCAGTAGAGTTTCTGATCTGATTTGTCATGACATGCCATGCACAGGACTTCGTAGTAATGGAATATTTCAACACAGACATATCTTTGATCTACTTACGTATCCTAGTGCTAAATTTAGTAATTGACCTTAAGCCAAGTTACAGACCAAAGGTCATGATATAAAAAAATCATGAGAGTGAATGATGACATTCACATTGTTGTCACAGAGCCTCCAATGACTCCAGGATTACCCCAGTGTTAAATGTAGTGCTGTATTATATTCAAAGATGCTCAAAGTGGTGGAGGACTTGTATGAAAAGTGCTTTTTGTATCAAAATGTACCTGGTAAATATTGCCCACTGTGACTTCAAATTTGTTTTTGTGTGCAATGTCATAGATGCTTTCATTCAGTATCAAAGTTAAATGTAATACATAATCCAAAATTGAATTTCCTTCCTTATAAAAATGTCTTTATATTTCATAATGATGTATTTATAATTATTTGAGGGGGTTGGGGGGATTAAAATGCCTGGATTGGAACATTTTACTTCATTTAATATCATTATGTATTTAATATGAAACTCAAATTTATTTATTGCTTTTTAAGCATATTTTTGTTATTATTTACATGCAATTTTCTTTTCCTTTTTGATTGTAATTGTGGTCATCATTTTGTTGTGTAAATTTTATTCAAACATCAAAAGAATCACTACATCTTTCTATGTTCACTGAATTGTTAATTACACAATCCCAAATTTAAATCTTTTGTCTTGAAATTCTTATCTAAAGCAATGTATAAGGATAGAAGATGAAGGCTTGAAGCAGCTGTCACATTTTTGGATTTTTATGATTCTGTGTAGTTCAAGAAAAACTTAGGTAGGTACATGTGTAGGTATTGTTTTGTATCCATTTCATTTTTTTTTTCATTTTGTATTGTTTTTTTCATGACTTTTTTTACTTTGAACCATACTAATTAATGATTTCAAACGTCTCCAGAGATTTAAAATAAAATTCTAAATTTATTTTGTTTGTGTAGACAAAACCGTCCTGTTGATAATATTTTTATTGGAATATCAGCAAATGGCTTTCATCATTGTGTGTGACAATGAACTCATTTCTGCTTTCAAAATTTGGCATTGGTTATAATCAGAGACGTATTAGAATATAACATCAATGTTTTGTGACGGAGTTTTTTATTTTTTCCTTTTTCATATGAAAACCTGACGATAAAGGTATCATAAACTTGTCTTTATTCGCGTAGAATTCTTGCCAAGTTTGATTATTTGTAATTTGTCGAGAACATCAGTTGATGTGTGCCATAAATGATCATTACGAGATGTCCTCATGGTCAGCTTTATGTAAAGTTAGGCTGAACTGTATAGGGACCCTAATATTAACTTTACTCACTTTCGAGTGGTTGTATATATACATTACATGTGTTTATGTTCTGTTTGGTTTCAAAAAGTTGTTTCTGATCTAAAAGTGGAAGCATTTTTTCTACATAAATGGTTGTGTTGATATCACAATTTAATTTTGCATATGTGTTGTAGTAAGTATTGGAATGTAAACATACTTTAAAGTGAAAGATACAAAATGTAGGACATTTCATTGTTGAGAACCCAAGAGCATTTTCTGCATGGGTTACCGACCATGGACCTAATTATGATTGAAATTAACTTGATTAACTTATTTTAGAGGAAAGTAAACTTCAATGGAATCATTGAAAAAAAAAATTTAAAAAAATGATTATTTTGAGATAACTAAATGCTTTGTATGAAGTATTGGTGATGTAACTTACAGATACATCTAGGGGAAATAACTCTGACGAACAAGAATATGTTGAAATAATTTCTGTTTATTTTTACGCAATACCTAGTACATGTTGTATATTATTGATAAGTACTTTACCACTTACAGAAAGTCATATATCCATATCTATGGAAATGCTTTACATATTTGTGAACAACATACTCTTCTACTTTTTCTTTGTAAACAAACTGCTGGTGAAAATATAGGAAATGCTGATTACCATTACCGAAAAAGTACATGTAGTTGCTTAGTGGCACAGTTATGATACAATATGTCCTGTAGTTTGTTTCATATTGTTGGTGCACATGGATATTATTATTCTCAATACAATTCACACTGTATAATTGAGTATATGTACTTATAGTTACATCTATTATGTAAAAATATTACAAATCAGAAAATATTTATTGCAAAATCCTTTTTAAACAAATGGCCGTTTTACAAGGCTACTTCAACATTAATTGGAACTTTACTTAATGAATGGTATATTTTCTACTTTTTTTTAATGTCAGCAAAAGTATAGTACCATGTGTAATCTTATGTCTTTATTGATATAAATCTATATGTGGAATTTTTTCCATTAAAAGAAATATAATAAATGTCAGAAATTTGAAAGTCAATGTTAGACAAAACTTTACTTAGCAATAGTTAGAAGAAAAAAACGCTTCTCTGTTATTTTTATCTTATGATATCACATGACTGTATTTTGTCAAAGATATTGAGTATTTTTGCATTTAAGCTGTAAGAGTGATTAACATTACAAGGATATGTATGAATATTTTAATAAATGTATATTATAAATTTATTTGTCTGCTTTCTGTTTTTGAATTCCTATTGGAAATAGTGCTTGAATTACCTAAAACCTTTTGATTATGTCTTAAATCACACTAAAACTAAAATCTATAAGTCACCAAAGTTCCCACTCCAATGCAGATTCATATGATTTTTGAACAAAATTCTGTTGATATGAAAAATGACCATGGAACACAAATTCCAGAAGATATTTTCATGATATGTTTAAACAAAAACCCCCAAAGATTGTTCGTTTGTTTGTCCCAAGTTTATATCCTCCTGAATATCCACAGTCATTTTGAGGTAGAGGTTCAATGTACTAGCTGGTAGCTGCATCACTGACCAATATATGGGAGGTTTGTTGCTTGTCATTAAGAACAAGTGTGGTAATGTCTCTTGTCCAAAGACCCCACCACCTTAGAACATACTGGTGATGTCATTACGTGAATAGGTACATTGAGGATGATCAAAACAAAGTGGTTAAAGTCGCATCAGTGAGTTTGCTGAGTAGTTACAATTTCTTTGACCTTGACCTTGGAGCCAAAAAGACTTACATCTGGCTAGGGGTGTACAATACAATAACAATAATAGATCTGTATCATACTTTCCTGTAATACTTCCATGTTATACTTACGTTGTCTTTGATATACGATAAAAGAATCGTGATGATGATATCTTCAATTTTGACCTAATTTCAATATGACAATAAAATGTTAAACATTATTATGTTGACTCCTTTTTGCATTTGCTTTACTTAAATGTATCACAAGCAATTGTTTTGAGGGGGAGGTGGGATTTTAGTAATAAATTAGAAATTAGTCCACAGTCAATTATCTACCATTATTCTTTATTACATCTTGATTATTACCATACCCTGGCAGTAGCTATGTAGTTTTCTTTGAATTAGACTGGAAATCTAATGACCGCCTTTTCGTATTGTTCTAGAAGTTTGTGATAAATCTGTCACAGAGTTGTCGGTATTAGTATAGCCGAGTAGCATAAATTCATAATCACAATTTTCGCTACATATGTAAAGTAGAATATTGTGAAAGATAAGTCATGATTATATTATCGCAAAACATTTCCATTGGCCACACTACATGCATATGTATCTATGAAACATCGATGTGTTAAGAATGAATTAGGAATCTTTTTATTTATCAATCTTATTTTTTCTCGTGGTGTGCATTTCCTTATATCATAATTAGGAAAAGAAATCGTAAAGAATGACACGCATTTCGACCGCTGATTTTATTTGTCGTGTTTAATTTCCCGATTGAAGTGCGACAGTATTATACATATGTCTTTGACTTACAATATTTAATTTCTATTATTTTTCTCTACTGAATAAAAAAAACAAGAAATTGTAAATGGCCAATGCTGCTTTTGAGGATTAAATTACAGCTCTATCGTGTATACCATCTATATTTTTCTTTGTTCAAACTTGTCATTTTCATCGGTCAATTCCGTTAACTATAGCGTATATACGATATTTCAGAGTATCATAGATTAAAGCTGAACTATTATCATATCTATATGATTATGCACATTACATGTTCCTTACTCTTTTGTTGTTTTTTTCCCTCAGATTACAATAACTGTAATTAGTAGCAGTGTAATAAAACATTTAATCGAATAATCAAGAACTATTGGGTTGACGAATGAAAGAAAGAAGTAATGATGTGATAAAATCTGGAAATCACGAAAGAAAAACGCATGCTTATTTGATATTTTGTTATGTTTCATCAAGGTAATTATGAGTGCTAACTTGAGAACGAACTTCATCGTTATGTACTTTTAAGACAATGTGAAATTATTTTGTCGATTATATGACATTAGCTTTCTTTGAATGCTTTTCCTCACCTTATCATTTTTCATGATGTTTGACTCTAAACATCCCTTCTGTGGCCCACAGTCTCCTGTCTATGGCCCCATCATGAGGGAATCCGGAAGTGTTTATGAAGGGATGTGACGTCATGTGCAGAGATGGAATTCCCTTCCCATTTCTTCACCTCGATGTTACTGCTATCAAACGTAACGTTGTACTATGATCGGTAAACGTTCCAATTTATGACCTGATTAAACTAGGACGATAACAGGTGGAACATAGATCAGTGTGCACAGGAGATCGCCCACTTCGGCTGCAGCTGGACATCCATCACATATACTAAAAAATGGAACGTATGCAGGTTGTATTCGGGCACCTGCCCGGGAGAGTTCAGCCATCCCCAGTGGCCGGGGCCGGACGTTTTGTTGACAGGCCAGACGACATCGTAATAATCTCTGCCCTAAGGACGCCTATAGGCAAAGCAAACAGGGGGTCATTCAAGGTAAGTTAAGAGAGTTTTTCTGTCAACTGGGAAACCTCGGACTTAAAACAATTTGACATAATGTCATATTTAACCACGGAATACAATAAAAAGTTCAGATGTTTGATTTGTTTGTTTGCTGTGTTTATCAGCCCCTGAAAAGCCATGAACACTTTAGTCATGTCTCCTTGTAGTAGCTGGTGACCTCTTCACCGAAAAACATGCGGGAAACACACCATCTTCCTATAGTCATGTAGAGTTTTATTTCAACAGTGTTATGGGTTTTGTTCTGAGTATGAAAAAGGAGTGGTCATTAAGTGTACACTATATTGGCATTAACTAAAGCACAGAGAGCTACACCTTAATTAATTGGAAACGCCTATTTTTCAAATAATTTCCTTTTCCTTTGTTTCTGTGTTAGTTCCTCAATTTTTCAATAATTTTTTCTAAAAGAAATCATCTGGTCATTTGTGAGTTAATGGTGGCAAGGTCAACTTCTAAAAAACGCAATTATTTAGTAAAATACATTTACCTCTGACTGCCCTCTGTGGTCTAAAGCTGTGAGGCTTGATCTGCAATATTTAGTAATGGGACCTATGATTTCTGATATTTAGAAATGAATCTGAAATGTTCAAACTATTTATCTTCAGTTTTATTATATGCCTTGGTTACATTCAACAAAATATGAAATTGCAGATAAATAATCATAACCTTATTGGTTTGAAGAAATATTTGTCCTTTTCCTGTAAAAACAGTGGATGTTTGGGGAATGAGGTACTGTTCTTGAGGAAGTTGAATTGGTTCTGACTGGAGGTGGCGTTTTTGTTATTAGAATAAAGGATAACAGTGCATGATTAAAGATAGATACATGATGTTGGTAAATTAAAATACAGAAATAGAGCAGAAGTCTGAAATTACTGACTTAAAATAGTTAAAGGCAGACAAATAAGTTATGTCAGTAAGTAAGTATTTGTTGGTAGAACCAGAGACGTATATATCACATACGTCTCTGGTAGAACAAATCTAGCAAGTAAGAATACCTAAGGCTTGTTAAACTGCAATAGACCAAATTCTACACCAGACAAACCACTGTGTTTATTTTAATTTGGAGGTCATATTCTTCATTCAAAGGATACGTATGGAGATGACCTGTTGTCTGCAGTGTTCCTTGGAGTGATGAAGGAGGGCAAGGTCTCTCCCCAACAGATCGGGGATGTGTGTGTGGGTACGTATGAACATGTGTGTAAGTGGTTAGTGCACTTCGCATTTAGTTAATATCATCAGTGCGTCTGATTTCATTATTGAATGGGACGTGATAACAAAAAAAATGTTATAATAAGACTTATATCCAAACAAACAAGAGTGGCTTATTTATACATTGTATTTGTAAGCTTGACCACTTCATAGAAAAAACAATCTATGATTGACAATTGCCATGTCCATGTACTTTTTTGATGTGACACATGACTGTCTTTAATATTTTAATTGCTTGTACTTAACATATATAGTTAGTTGACTTATTTTATACTGACATGAATATTCATACATGTACAAATGGCATGAATATTCATACACAAATATCATTAATATACATACACAAATGTCATGAATATTCATACACAAATGACATGAATATTCATACACAAATGTCATGAATATTCATACACATACAGATGTATTTGAATGAGTATATAACAACTTAAAGTTAACCTCTACATATATACATATATGTATTTATTACGTTTTCACTTTTGGATTAGATGCTGATTGGTCAACATCTGATCAAATGTTGTTCCATTCAACATCAAATTGCACTCTGTGACAGTTAGAAAAGGTCATAATGCACACTCTTGCAAGTTTTTTGTAATATCACATAATTTCAGCTTAGATTTAACAGACACATTTACAGCAAGTTGCCAAGGAGTGCAATAGAATGTTTTATTAAAGATGTAGTGTTCATGATTCTGTGGTAAATGTTATGGAATGAGGCACAATTGAAATGGAATAGAAACATTCAATGCTTTTGGGGATCTAATAACGATATGTAATAAAACAGTCATGATACCTTGTTTTCTTTGATATGAGGTATTATTGAGTTCAGATAACCAGTATCAACCCCAGTCTCAGATGATTTGATGATCTTTGCTCCATAAATCCTGATATCAATCAACTCCAGTGCTAAAGTGTATACTTTTGGAAAACTTTGGAATTTGACCCCCACAAAAAATATATGATTTTACAATTTATAGTAGATCTTGATGTGAATGACTCTAAAAGTCAACCACTATATGAATGACCCTTAAAGTCAACCACTACATGAATGACCCTTAAAGTCACCCACTATATGAAAGACCCTTAAATTCACCCACTATATGAATGACCTTTAAATTCACCCACTATATGAATGACCTTTAAAATCAACCACTATATGAATGACCTTTACACTCACCCACTATATGAATAACCCTTAAAGGCACCCACTATATGAATGACCCTTAAATTCACCCACTATATGAATGACTCTTAAAGTCTATAGTTATATGAATGACTCTTAAAGTCAATCACTATATGAATAACCCTTAAAGTCAACCACTATATGAATGACTCTAAAAGTCAACCATTATATGAATGACCCTTAAAGTCAATAGTTATATGAATGACTCTTAAAGTCAATCACTATATGAATAACCCTTAAAGTCAACCACTATATGAATGACTCTAAAAGTCAACCATTATATGAATGACCCTTAAAGTCAATAGTTATATGAATGACTCTTAAAGTCAATCACTATATGAATGACTCTAAAAGTCAACCATTATATGAATGACCCTTAAAGTCAATAGTTATATGAATGACTCTTAAAGTCAACCATTATATGAATGACCCTTAAAGTCAATAGTTATATGAATGACTCTTAAAGTCAATCACTATTTGAATGACCCTTAAAGTCAATAGTTATATGAATGACTCTTAAAGTCAATCACTATATGAAGTCTAAAATCACACTATATGAATGACCCTTAAAGTCTATAGTTATATGAATGACTCTTAAATTCACCCACTATATGAATGACCCTTAAAGTCAATAGTTATATGAATGACTCTTAAAGTCAATCACTATATGAATGACCCTTAAAGTCAACCACTATAAGAATGACCTTTAAAGTCAACCACTATTTGAATGACCCTTAAAATCAACGACTTTATTAATGACCCTTAAAATCAACCACTATATGAATGACACATAAATGTGATCTCCATATAAAAGATATAAAGTTGATCTTGATATACATGAAACTAGTGAGATGATTGACAGTTTGTCCTTTATAAATGACACACCATCGACCTAGATATATATACATATCATGTCATCACCAAGGAGTCTTTGACATGGATAGTTGACCTGATGACCTTCATAGCCATGATATGATTATATATATCTACTTTCTTTTGTGTCTATGTAAATGTTTTGTTTTCCATTTTAGGCAATGTCCATGATTCAAAAGATGCCTTCACTGCTAGAGTAGCCCAGTTCTATAGGTATGTGTAGATAATTCATCAATCTAACTGATCTCTAGTGGATATTCTTATCCTCATCATCCCCCAAAAGGTCCATGGTCAATAGCTGTCTGACCATATGGACTTTTGAGGGGTGCGCTGGTTTCTTGCCACAGTAAGAATCTTTGCATGTTTGCAAAGTTATTGATCAATCATCATCCTTAACCTTGTTGTTGCCCTCCTCTTGCTTCTTGCTCAGTGATTTGTACCAGATTTATCCTACTCTAAGCCAAGGGAGGTATTTTTCTCTGACTCAAAGAAAGAGGTGAGTTTATTACAGGACGATGGTGTTGCATTTGCTAACATTTCCTTCTGAAATTCAACAGTTTTTGATGGACTTTTAACCAGGCATGTGCTTAATCTTTCATCCAAAATGGCAGCCATGATATATAATTTATTTAAATATAGATCTGGTTTGATTTTCATTGAATTTAATCTGTTGGTGATCAACAATATCCTCTACCAGCAGTTTTGGGAATGATTGTCATTATAACAATCCTCAGAAGTGAAAAATATAGATAATGACTTCATGAAAATTACCATGACAATGGTTTTTTAATTTTTTAGATCTAATTCTTTGTTATGTCTTTTTTAGTGGAATCCCAGAAACAGTACCATTGTATACAACTAACAGACAGTGTTCATCAGGACTCCAGGCATTCATGAATGTTGCTGGTAATATATGTGTACTACAGCTATTAGATATTAAGTGTCATACAGAAAACGATTACATTCATTAAGTACCTGTAATGAATTTTCAAATAAAAGTTGGTATGATTTAATTAAATAGCTCTTCTTTAAATTCTGTTTGAAAAAACTCTAAGAAACATTTGAAATACAGTGTATCAGGAAACCCACAGTGTCTTCTAAACCCAAATAGAACCATAATTCCTATGGAACTTCAAATTTTGTTTTTGTTTTTAATCTACTTAAATTATGTACTGGTCTTTTTGCAGGCTCAATCAGAAACAATCAGTGTGATATGGGGATTGGTGCTGGGTAAATAATTTTGTTTGTTTAATTTCATTACAATAACAGAAAGACAAAAAAAAAATAAATAAATAAAACACAGGTAAACTTTATTATTTTCAATAATTAATTTCTATTTTGATAATGTTTCAAAATTGATCTTCAAACAATTATTTGTGAAGAGGGTGTAGCATTGCAGCAATATATCTATGTGTGTGACTCACAAACTGTCTGTTTGTCCATTAGTGCAAAACAAGTCATTTGATTGAGAGAAAATTATGAAATGTAGAAATGTAAAAGTTTGCACACTTCTTTCCTGACCTAAGAGAATTAAATTCATTGAAGCATAAAGTGGAGGTTTAAAGTTCAAGGTCACATTAATTGGGAATTTTCATCATCACAATAGCCACATGAAGGCAAAGTCTATAAATAATGGGGCCTCTCATGGGCAATGAAATATCATAACTCATAAAAAATAGCATGGCATCCCATCCATTTAGATAATACTGAAAACTTGCAAATTTGAAGTAAAAGTCATTTAAAGTTATTTTTGAGTTGAAAGATACAAGTTTATGTACCAACTTTATTGGCTTTAAATTGTGCTAATCAGGGAGGCTAATGATCATTCTAGATTAAGTGGAATATCAGTATTATGGCCAAAAGTGAGGTATTGGCAAATTGAGAATTGTCTTGGTAAAAAAAAAGAGAAACAATGTGAAGCTTACATGCCTCAAGAAATTAACCTTGACCCTTAGTTTCTTTCAATATATGATGTAACAACATGTCTGTATGTCAGTGTTATGACATCACAATTAATTTCTGACTATGCACAGCCAATGAAAACACTGCAGATTACATTACACTAATGACCATTCACTAGATAACAGGCAGATTATGTGAATTAGAAGTACTTCCTTTGTAAAACTAGTTATCTTTCATTTTAATACTGATGAGATGCATCTAATTATTTTTCGTCATGCATTTAATTGTGAAGGTAGATAATTGAAAGGATATTGTTGTAGTAAAAGACAATCAGACAATGTCATAATTTTACATTATAGATTTGAACAAATGACTATGAACAAGGGCCTCGACCACTCATTGAATCCCAAGTTGTTGGGAGTAGAGAAAGCCAAAAACTGCCTAATTCCTATGGGGTGAGTTGTTTAGGGCACCAAATCCACCTACAGTTAATCACATAAGGCAAATTCAATCTAAACAAATTGAACTGACTGGTAAAGTTGTGCACCACAAGATTTCATTTTGATGGAAAATAAACATTATATACTTTTAAAGCCACAATTTTTTCAAATTTTCTTAGGGCCTATCTTTCATTTCACAAAAAAATGATTGTGCCCTAGTATGTCGCTCAGGTTAACTTCTGAAAATTAAATTATTACAGATAGAATGCGAAAGTGATCTTAACCTTGGGGTATCAAGGCCAGCATCAGCAATGATTGAAATTAGCACAACCATAATTTAGCACAATGCCTTCCATACAAAAAGCACTAATCAATATTACTAAGATACTTACATTTACAATCATCTGATATATTTCCTGTAAGATAAGTTGTGTTTGAATGATGTGTCTTACAAATATTTGATTTGTTGTTTTACTTATTGCAGAATGACGTCTGAGAATGTAGCAGAAAAATATGGATTGACTCGAGAGGATCAGGACCAATTTGCATTGTTATCACAGAACAGGTAAATTGATATGAAAAGTCAACATTTAAGGATTTAACATCTATATCAACATGCCAAACTCATTATTATTGTTCATTGCCCTACGAACTGTCAGGGTCATGATGAGGTCAAATCTTCTCATATTAGCTGGTGCCTACCTCACTGAACAACATATGAGAGGCCTGTCACATCTCTCTAGGCAGAATGATTAGGGTCAACTGTCTTATTCATAGACACTACAGTTATAGTACAAACTGGTCCATTTCTCTGATTCCTGAGAGACAGAAAGCACCACAAGTGAAGTGAGTGTGGAACATTAAACAGTATTTGGTATAACCTAGCAGGAAAGAGCAAAAGGTTGATTCTCTTTCTTTGCAAGCTGAAGTTGTTGAAAACATGTATCAGATATCATGATAGTTGAAATATTGCTGGATCTCTTGCAGATTCAGGAAATAGATAAGTCTGTGATAGTTTATTTAAAACTCACATAAATAACAATCTTTACAGTCTTTTGCCTTTGTTTACTTTCTTTCTGACACTGTCTTCTGCAGCACCGTGATTTTATAGCTCAAAAGAGGCTATTTAGATTCTTAGCCGAAAACTATGCTATTTTCTCACAATGAAGTGAAATATTATACAGGCAAAAGGTTTTATAAACTTTGGGTAGTAAAATTTTTATTGCCCAAGTGCTCACATGAACCCAGATGTTGCTGATATTATACCAGTATACTGTCAATAAAAAACCAAGTGAATATATCCAAGTTCTAGTCATGTTGATGTCACATCTGTTACTTTTGACCTGGGAACGTTTTTTCATTTTAGTTTATTTTTAAGTACTACATCAAATGTTGATGTTATCTACAGGGCTGCAGAGGCACAAAGGAAGGGGCTTTTTGATGACGAGATTGTTCCTGTTACCACGACGATCAAGGACAAGGAGGGGAATGAGACAACAATCACAGTAAGACCTTATTGGTGTATCAGTACTATATGATGTAATTTGAAGACATCTCTACAAAAAAAAAAAAAATCATGATTGAAAATTTAATATGTATTTGTGTATAGAAAATATCTGTGGTCAGTGGACGCAATACTTGGTTATAGATGTTCAGCAATCATACTCTTGGGAAAAAATTGTAGTCTTTAAAGTTATCCTTTCTAAAAGTCAAAATATGTAATCATGGTATTTTAGAAACTTTAGATGGTTACGTGTGCTTGTAAGACACAGATTTAAATGTTCTGATCCGATTAGGATACCGTCACAATATACAGAATTTCCATATAAATATTGATATGTGTGCTAATTAGTGATGTATTTCCTATAACATATGTTTTAAAGGTAAAATGGATTTTTTTAAAAGATTTGTTTAGGTATCTGAAAGACATATTAATCATTATGACTAAAGGTCAAAGGTCAAAAGTTTGGATTGCAATTGGATTTGATAACCTACCAAGTTTAAACTGTCTTGTACAATTTACTTGACCAAATATGCTCTCACAACACAATTTGTATTACCTTTCAATTTCTGTAAGAAAAATCTCCCTGATCATAATTGTGTTTTTTTCTCCTTTAGGTAACAAAAGATGATGGTGTTCGCCCCACCACACTAGAGGGACTACTCAAGTTGAAACCAGCATTCAAAAAGGGAGGTTCCACAACGGCAGGTAAGTCTTACTCACCTTGAATCCTTAATGACAAGGAAATTTTGTTAGTTAAGATTTAAATGAAAAAGATCAAAATTTTCATTCTTATTTTAAATTATTTATGTTAATAGAGTTCTGTATCCATCTAGGGAACCTCCTGAAATCCATGTAAATGTACATGTAGATAAGTCACATATTTGTATGTTTATTGAATGTTGGTACTTGGCAGAGAGATTTCTCATCTTAGGAAATTATTTTCTGTTGGTTTGTGACATTTTGCCAGATGGTGTTCAGCAGAGCAAGTCAGTATACCACTACAGTGTGTGTTAAGCTATTTTTGTCGTATAATTACTGTGAATTGCTTTTTTTTAAAAAGATGGCCAGCAAAAGTGAGAAATTTGTATTTAATTTTGTATGATTTTGAAGATGACATATCTAAGCAATAATAAATACAACGTTAGTCCTAGAACTGAAGGCCTGAATTTTTTTTTATTAATTTCTGTAATTTAAAGGAAGATAATTTATGCAATCACATATATAGAGAGTGAGATAACATATAACAACATGTGCTATGTAAATGAGCATGTGTAATGTAGGATACATATATAAATTTAACACAAATTCTCTGGCTGAATTAATGATATTCCCTGATTGTATATGAAACGGTTTAGGGTAATTTAGGTGACTATGTAGATTTATGTATACTCCAGTTTTCTCTCCCATTAAGACCCCTCACATACTTTTATTTGGACCATATAGAATGTTAATACATATGCTGAAAGCTTATTTTGTGGTTGCTGTATAATGAATAAATTGTATTGTTTAATGCAAATATTGTGTGTTTAACAGATGGTCATATACACTTTGTAGCTTTAACATATACATAAATGTGATATAACTGTGTAAGGGAGATAAATCACCATAAATTGTCGGGTATACACCAGGTCTAGATAGCACATATACAATGTGAAGGAGTATATCACATTAACACAAATATGTAAATGTGGACAAAACATATGAAAGGAAATTAGAACTCAATTCAAAGGGGATTAAATCAAGTTTTATATCATACATGTATATAACGGTAAAAGTATGCAAGGAAGCTTTTAGTTGGGAGGACTTCGAGGTTATATTTTCAAAATGTCTTTTTTAATAAAAATCTGTATCAAACCAAAAAGATCTTTTAAAAAAAAATCCCTTCTATACTTCTGGTATACAAAGAATGGTTGTTATCTTTCATTCTACAACCCAAGGTAACAGTAGCCAGGTCAGTGATGGAGCTGCAGCAGTCTTATTGGCAAAGAGGTCAGAAGCTGTTCGCCTCAATCTGCCAATCCTAGGAGTCCTGAGAGGGTATGCTGTTGGTGGATGTCCTCCTGAGATCATGGGTATTGGACCAGCAATTGCCATCCCAATGTTATTAGCAAAGACTGGTAAGGTGTTCATGATTCATATCATATTATCATTATTTCTTATGGTATAGCATTCACTTTTCTTTCATACCGACAATAAAATACCTTTACAAGAGTTATCTCCCTTTGTCTATGGACAGGCTTGACCAAGGAGGAGATAGATATTTTTGAGATCAATGAGGCATTTGCAAGTCAGGCTAAATACTGTGTGGATAAACTTGGGCTTCCATCGGAGAAGGTGAATCCAAAAGGAGGAGCCATTGCCCTGGGCCACCCTCTTGGTTGTACAGGTGCCAGGCAAATCGCTACACTTCTACATGAACTTAAAAGAAGAGGGAAAAAGTAAGATGATATCAAATTTATGATCTCCTTTTTTATACAAGAACTTTCACTTTTGGATCAATTCTCAGAAGCATTTAATCTAAATGTTTACAAAAATGAGTTTTTAGATATGATTAGAATCTGTTGTAATTGTAGTTACCTATCCATCCAACAAAAATATATTTTTCAATTATTTTCAAATAAAAAGAAAAAGAAAACGGGGGGGGGGGGGTTGGTTGTGTATTCAGGCCATATCATAATGCTTATCATACCATTTATCCAGCCATTTTTTTGCTAGTGTTATGCCCCTTTATTCTGTTTCCAAACAAAAATGTGTGAATGGTAACCACAATTTACTGCTGGACCAATGAGAATTCCTCTTTATCTTGATTACCTGGTAGTTGAGAATAAGGCTAGTGAGTCATAGGTACTAGGTTAGAGACCTAGGAGAGATATTCAAGTAAACTTCTGTTCGGTCTATATATATTACAGTATAAAGAACTTTTCCGATACAGTTTGCCTTTATTATAATTCTTATCTAATTGAAGAAACTAGTGCTTTTACCAATATAAATCTAGTATCTAATCAGATTAACTGTTTCATTTACAAATACATTATTATCTAATCATAGAAGCTGTTTCTCTTACCAATATAGATTTCAGATATTCATTCAGATTAATTGTTACATTTACATGTGTACCAGTATAATTTTCATCCAATCATGCTGATATTTGTTCCCCATAAATATAGATCCAATATTCAAAGTAATCAATATATTTCTTATCCAATCAGATAAAGCCTTACTGTTAACCAATCAGAAAATCTGTTATTTCAGGTCTTATGGTGTGGTATCTATGTGTATGGGAACAGGAATGGGAGCTGCTGCTTTATTTGAATACCCTGGTCCTGCGCAGTAATCCAGCAGATGAAACACATCATCTGTGATTATTTAAAGTATCCATATGCAGAGAGAGAGAACTTAATTTAATTTGGAATAAAGAACAAATTCAACAATTTTATTGAGATTTTAGTGAAGGGAAGGTAAACCTACCTAGTCCAAACACTAAAGGACCCATACTGGAATACCAACATCATGACATATATTTACCCAGCATACAGTTCAGCTTAATCAGAGAATTCTTCAATGACAGCAAGGAAAACATAAAATGATGGAAATTATTTCGGTGCCATTGAAATAGGGTTAAACTGTTCAGTGCCTATTTATCTTTAAATGGACCTAGCAAAATAGTTCATTTCATTTATAAGGGACACATGAAGTGTGCAATGATTGAGTGTGTGGTTGTATGAAAACGCATGATCAAAGAGGGAAATGAAAGATTTGTGTTGAAACTTAATAAATTAAATCATTCCACTTGAAATTTATGTTTAATTCATTATGTTATAACCTTTGTATATAAATCATCGGGTACACATGAAAATATCATATTGCCGTCTCCTTAGCGTGCTGGGCATACGGTAAGACTAATCGTAAGGCTCCTTTCGGTTAGCCATAGCTTTATTAAGGACAAATATCACGAGTATTGTTCAGCTTAAATCTTTTAAAGATTACACAGAGATGCTTCCTTCAAGTGACCAACACTCTAAGTCTTCCTTATATATTTGTCAAAGAGATCATAGCATGCAGTATTCCGTAAAATTCTCAAGGGATCTCTACTCCAAGAAATCAAGTAGAACGCAGGCATCAATATTACAAGGACAGAGAGAAAAATGAGTAAGAGCTAAACTCTTGGATTTTGAATGTGATATTTAAAATTACAAGTTATAAATATATGTAAAAGTAAGGGTTGGTGTGGCTTGTATATAGTGTTAAATACGGTCTCAGTCACTCCGCTGACGGGTCGGTGTGGCTTGTATATAGTGTTAAATACGGTCTCAGTCACTCCGCTGACGGGTCGGTGTGGCTTGTATATAGTGTTAAATACGGTCTCAGTCACTCAGCTGTGGCGGTGTGGCTTGTATATAGTGTTAAATACGGTCTCAGTCACTCCGCTGACGGGTCGGTGTGGCTTGTATATAGTGTTAAATACGGTCTCAGTCACTCCGCTGACGGGTCGGTGTGGCTTGTATATAGTGTTAAATACGGTCTCAGTCACTCAGCTGTCGGGTCGGTGTGGCTTGTATATAGTGTTAAATACGGTCTCAGTCACTCCGCTGACGGGTCGGTGTGGCTTGTATATAGTGTTAAATACGGTCTCAGTCACTCAGCTGTCGGGTCGGTGTGGCTTGTATATAGTGTTAAATATGGTCTCTGTCACCAAGCTGGCGGGTCGGTGTGGCTTGTATATAGTGTTAAATACGGTCTCTGTCACCAAGCTGGCGGGTCGGTGTGGCTTGTATATAGTGTTAAATACAGTCTCTGTCACTCAGCTGACAGGTCGGTGTGGCTTGTATATAGTGTTAAATACGGTCTCAGTCACTCCGCTGACGGGTCGGTGTGGCTTGTATATAGTGTTAAATACGGTCTCAGTCACTCCGCTGACGGGTCGGTGTGGCTTGTATATAGTGTTAAATACGGTCTCAGTCACTCCGCTGACGGGTCGGTGTGGCTTGTATATAGTGTTAAATACGGTCTCAGTCACTCCGCTGACGGAGCATGCTTCTTTGGCTCCGTTGGTAGAGCCGGTCGGTTTTTCACGCCGGAGACCCGGATTCGATTCCTGGTCGGGGCACTCGACAGGAGTGTGTATTTTCCCCGTTCTTTCAAATATATGACTTGTTTGTTCCAAATGTCTTTGATAATTATTGCGTGTACTTGGTATTTTGATTCTGTATTAAACTCCTTTATGTTTCTATGTAACATGTTATATATGTGTGCATTGTATAATGTGTGTAAAACAATTCCTTACAATTGTTAAAAAATGTAACCACGCCCAGGTTAACGAGGAAAGGGAAACACACATATATCTATCCTATTTTCGATTCCATCGAAACTCCACAGATAATACACATTGATAATTGTGAATTATACCATGAGAACACATTAGATGTAACTCCCCGCGTCACTAAATGAGGGACTAGACCTGAAACTGCTTCAGATCACTCCAGGGGTGTCTGGTAACACTACAGTAGAGCCCCATTTGGTTCTCTATAAAAATGCGTATCACGGACCTAATCCCCAATGCTTGGAAATTCACAGAAAGCGAGTTTTTTTTCCGGATATAACTTTGTTACGCGTACAAGAAATGACATCACCACACATAAAAACAAGCTTAGTAAACGCAAGCAGATTGGAGGACAATTTGACAAGATAGTAAATTATTTTGTGTATTCTCTATAGCAAGTTCTACCATCTATCACACTGCTGTACAGCAAGTGCTTCCACCTACACGCTAGCATATCCACGTCGTTTTAAAAAAGCATCGTATATCCGGACACTTATTGTCTGACATTTTGATTACCGTCCAGTCAGTTCTTTGTGGCGCTTTACAAGTTAGACATTCACAGTGATGACCGCCAGAAAGCGAAAGTACAGGATGATTTATCAGCTTAACGTGGTCCTATCTCACGTTTTTATAATTGAATTGTTTGCAAATATCAACTATCTTAACTTCATAAAAATTAACAGTTTAAAATGTCTCGTTTTATCAACAATTTGATGATTTTAAGTGTGTTTGGTCTTATAATTACTGTATGTTGTGAAGATACATTTGTTTGTGAAATTCTGTAAAGCTGAATGAGTTTAAACACTCAACTTTATTGGTAAAACTAGTATGAGAAAATATTCTAGTGTACTTCGGCGTCATGTAGGTGTCCATGCGACCAATTTTGAAGGGGTGAATGACAATGGAAAGATAACACAATGTCACGTATTTTATTCAGTTCTACGTTGTTGTGTTTGTTTCTCATAACACACGACAATGAACATTGGACAGGATGAACCAATGACCGTGACGTGTCTGCCATATAGTGTATCTGTCCGAAGTTTATGTTCAGTGTAGCGTATCGTGATCATAATAAAATGTTATATTTTGATCTTTATCAGAACTCGGATCGCATATACTTGAAAGGTTATCCTGTTTTATAAAGAATAAAAATCAAAAGTTTTTTTTTTATAACTCAGAATTTGCGATTAAGTTACAAGTTACCAGTCAACAGACTTGTGTTTAATTACACGAAAACAGATGATGAAATGAAGATGTAACTGTTTGTATAGTCTAAAAAGGATGTTACTTTCAAAATGTTTAATTTTTCGTAATTTTCTGAGTAAAATGAAATCGCGAGGAGTAGATACATCGAAAACGAAATTTCCAAAAGAAAAAATTGATCCGTGTCATAAGTAATGGTTAAAATGTATCTTTATTACTTCAGACTTTCAAATTTGAATCATTGTTGAAGGTTTTCATTTAATTTTCATATTTAATTGTAAACATTCAGAAGCCCTACAGTTTCAGGGAATATATAAGCTTGCTGTATTCTACTGCACGTTATCTGAAGAGGCGGCACCCGTGGGACCTCCTACCAAGTTGGGAGTTTCGGAACCAGCACTGATTGGTCCGTTGTTGGAAATGTAGCACCTGAATGCTTTATCTTTTCTTGCTACTTTCCGTTTTCTGAATAATTCTCTCTAAACACGATCATGCAGATCTTGTAATGTCGTGAATCTATGGACGAAACATAGCAAGATAGACTACACGAGTCAAACAGCCTATCCGCACCAATAATGGTAACATATATCTTTCTTCCTATTTATTTAAGACTAAGCAAGATTTCGTCCATTGACCGTGAGTCACTCACCAATTAACTGATAATATATTTACAACAACAGGTAAGGGAGATCAATGCACATGTGTTGGGATATCTATAGACGATTTCTGAAATGTCTAGAATTTGTTGCTCACTGGACCTCGTTGGAAAATGGACGATATGCCGTATTTAACGAACCTCTCTTTTTATATCTAGTTCCGCGTTATATCTCACGTCAATGTTATATGGTATACTTATAAATTTATGTTAAGCAGATCCACTATAGATAATCAGGACAAACCCACTTACTGATCTAAAAAACACAGGTGTTTGTGGACATGGATTTGATTATTTTTAATGAATATATAAATCAGTTTATGACGTCCGGATGTCAGATGCGCTTTTGAGGTATTTACCTGGGTTATTATTCCTAATTTTTGTTTTTTGTTTTTTGTTTGTTTTTACCGCTTTTGAAATCAAGCATCTGGACGTAATTAAAATTGTTTATTCTCCATTTACTTATCATATTTATGGAAATATAATATTCATGGCCACAAGCACCTGCGGTTTAGCTGCGTTGTTTCCGTTTTACTTCGCAGAATTAAGAGTCGAACATGTATCATTTTATGGGAATTTTTAAATCTAGGAATATTCAAAATTAATTCTAAGTAAATCTGAGGACTTTATAAACAAATGTTATCTTATACTCAATAAACATCAAACGTATTCCACTTTTTACATGCAATTCGAAATTCATTTTATCATTTTTACGTCATCAGCACGAGACTTTTACTCTCTCTTTGCGTAATAGATGTTTTCTGACTCGTTCAAATTAAGATTACTAAAACGTTTTGCTTAGGTCTGTTACATAGATTGAAGAAATGCAAATGAAGTTTTAGTCTAAAATAAGCCAGAGGATTGGGTACAAGTAATGATAACTTATAGAAGCCTCCTTGATTTAATGGGCAATGTGACAGTAACAGTAGACACATAGCACATTTTATACAATAGAACGGATTTGGAAATCAGAAGAGTGAAGGAGGAAACAGGTTGAAAGTACATGGAAATTACAAGTAATATCAAACAGCAGTTATTACCATATAAAACAATATATATCGCATTGTGATTTATGATATATAACATATCTGCCTGGATCCCACTGGCTTCTACAAATATTGAACAAAGGAAGTGGTAACTGAATAACGTCTTTGAATACAAATTCAGAATTAGATATTATAAGTTGGTAATGTTTTGTGTCCATCTGCAAGGCGGAGTAATGAAAATGGCGTGAAGATCAACAGCAGCGTCGTTCACACACTTCATTCATTAATAAAAACATAGACTTGTATTCAGGCCGTCATGTCCGCGGCTTATGTCCTGTCGGTACTATGTTGTGGTTACGAGGGCAATACTTATACATCGTTACTTATTGTATGCGTCATGTCTACGTCTTTCAGTTCCCACGTTAAAGAAAAACCACAGATATTCAATATATAGCGACATGTAAACAATCGTCAATATAGACAGATTTCTGTAAAACCAATAATTTTCGTGACGAATTTATTTTTGTTGACTGAATGGGTACTCTAAATTCATGAATTCATACGTCAACGAAGCGATATGTAAATGTATAGAAAAACGTTAACATGAATTACAGTGCTAGTGAATCATTTAC